GTATTTGTTATGATTGCAATGAAACAATTATCCAACAGAACTTTAATGTCACCGTACGGCCTAGGACAAAACCCATCTGGTAACGTCAACCATAAACGGTCCCGAGATGACAAAATGTGAATCAATTAAAATGAAAAAAGAAACCAATGACCAGATTTGACCAAAAATAAACGCAAATGAAATATGAAGGAACTAGCGACAACAACTGAATACAGACTCGTGACTTGTGGTAGGTGCATATACAATGTGACTGGGTAATCATTTGTGTAACAGCACAATATAAGAACAAACTGTAAAATTCAGTTGGAAAACTGTGGCGGACGTTGCCAAAAGAATATATAAACTCATTAGTCGAAAAAAAAACTGACAATGCTATGGCTTTAAAAGAAAGACTATCAAAAGACAAAAAACAATATCGAAAACTAAAGGATGAGCAACAATAACCACACCAAAAACCGGACGGATCACCTGAGCTCCGGAAGGGTAAGCAAATCATGTTCTACATGTGGCACCCCCGTGTTGTTCATGTGATTACAAACCTGGTGATAAGTTTAATTCGATAGGTAACATCCGAGGAAAAGAAGATGGATTTAGGTTACGACAATTGAAACATATCCGTCGTCATCTTCGAGACAGATATTCCATAACGGTCAACTAACTCTTAATGGCGTCCGTAAAGTTTTCAAAGAGATGATTTTATCTTCATATCTTTGAACTCTTGGTTTGATAGGCAGCTCTTGAATATTGTATCATCTGGGGAATAAAATCTCCATATGCAGGCGCTGCCGGAATGTTGCAAAAATAAAAAGTTCACAATTTGGAATCTAAAATCATATCTCGTCATAAAGTTTTGTTCTCAACCGACCCTCATGGTCAATTTCTAGATGTAAGTCAAGATATAAGACAGACTTAACTGTATCTGTTGTATCCTTTGTTTCAAGTTCGATAGGTGAGATTCGTTCAGCATATACAGCAAACCTTGAATTATTTAGTGAGAGGACATCATCTTTATAGCGAAAATGAAATTAAGGAATATTGCTAGTTTTTTTTCATTCTTCCCAAGAGAAGCTCCTGTATGAAATAACTTGAGGAGCACAGTTTATTCGATAAGAATGCCGATTAATTTTATTTTTTTTTTATTTTTAGAAATACACGTCCTCTAAACGTATCAAATATAATGGTTTGACTTGTCAGATCGGCGAAAAAGTTTTAAAAAAAACCCCCAAAATATACAAAAAGTAAAAAGTACCGATGTAGTTATAAAGTAAGTTACTGGAAGCTAGTTTAACGCCAATAACAATTAATAAACAAACAAAAAACTCATCAAAAATACAACACTTATAACTTTGTACGCCAGGCATTTCACCCTAGACTAAAGTATCAATTAGTACACATGTGCTCATTCAACGGATTAAGTATACAGGCGTCATAAACAGTCTGTCAAAAGCATGACATTGTACCATGCCAACAAACAAGTACATGATATCGACAGGATGTAGGACCGTAATTTTTCATAAATGTATAAGTTTATTTTAATTCAATTTGTATTTAATTATCTATGTCCTAGCTACCTGAGTAAAATTTAAATAGAAGGTAGTGAGAATTTTTCTGATGATGCTAATTTAGAGCTGTTTGAGCGTTTATTTCAATATATTAAATCTTCAAACAGGTTTTCTCGATAGATTAATAACTTATTTGTATTATCTTTTTGCTTTTACCAAAACATTTCATGTAAGAAACACATTCATTCATTAATATAAGTATTTTTTTTTCACTTGCCCTGATTGTATTCATTATCGTCTTTTCTTAATCACTTTTTCATATTACTGAGTTCAGCATGTTTGTAAGTCATGTGCGTATGAGTAAGAATGAGTGAGTAGTTGGGTGGATGTGAAGTTTAAAATATATGTCTTGTCCTGTACATATTTTCTTGTCTTGTGTTAAACATGTTTGTAAAAAACACTTTGGTAATTGTGAATCTGTATATATATTTATGCTGAAGAGACCAACACGTAGCCTCTGGCTGTTGGCAATCCTCTTTAAAAAAATAAAGGATTTAATTAAATATTTCAATTTATCAAAAACAAAATCAGTTTTAGTCACAAGAATAGTCCTGTATCTTACAACGATGTTTGATTGGTTAAACTTAAAGAATGAGTTTTGGCAAGGGATCAATGAGTTTACATGGTTCGTATCAAAATTTATGGGATTTATAAACATTATTACCGTAAAAGTTTAGATGTGATATCTTGTTTTTTAAAAGAATTATACAGGTACAACCAAATCTCAAAACCATAAATTTGTTTCAAGTCTGGCTTTTGCTGTCTTTTCTTGGTGGAGGAAAAAACAAGGCGACATTGACATAAGATTTTGAATATCGTTTTTGAATTCCTTTTTAGCTTCTATCATTTTTAATCCTTTATATATTATTATACATTCCTAGATTGCAAATATTTAGGTTTGAGCGCTTCTATCGAACGATTAATCCAAAAAGCGTGTTGGTCACACTTAATTTATAAAGTGTTATAAATTTTGTTTTTGATCTTTGAAATAGATGATTTCAGCTTTCCTATTGTGAACTTTCCATTTCTATGAAGCAACATTCCAGCAGCGCCTGCATACGGAGTATATATCTCCTAATTGATACAATATTCCAGGGCTTGTATTTCCCATCATGATTTCCTTGATAGAGGGTTGCTACTCATAGGGAAGCTATTAAACCAAGAGTTCCAAGTGGTGAAGTTGAAATCACCCCTTAGTAAATTTTACGGACGCCATCACGAGTTCGTTGACCGTTATGGAATATCCGTTCACGATTGATACCAGATGTGTTCCTAATGTCGTAACTACAATCCCGTCTCCTTTTCGCGAATGTGACCTAACGAGCTAGACTACTTACCGGGTTTGTACTAACATTAGCAACACGACGGGGACCACATGTGGAGCAGGATCTGCTTACCCTTCCGGAGCACATGAGATCACTCCCAGTTTTTGGTGTGGTTCGTGTTGCTCAGTCTTTAGTTTTCTATGTTGTGTTTATGTAATATTGTTTGTTGGTCTTTTTTTTTTAGCCATGGCGTTGTCAGTTTATTTTCGTCTTATCAGTTTGAATGTCGTTTTTGGTATCTTTTGCCTCTCTTTTGAAATGATTTTAACAGAAATATATATGTAAGTAGATATTGGAAGCAGTTTGTGTTGTGGCCTTTGTGGGAAATAGAATCAGGCAAAATTTGCTTTTTGATTGTTTAGTTTGTCCTTATGAGTAAATCAACATACAGGGATCTTGGTTATTCAACCTTATTGTTAAATTTCTGATTTTATTATGTAATAACGTTATAGATACTCACACAGTGCCATTTTCACTGAACTAGTACACAATTTTATTTAGGGGCCAGCTGAGAACCACCTCCGGGTGCGGGATTTTCTCGCTGCATTGAAGACCCATTGGTGGCCTTCGGCCGTTGTCTGCTCTTTGGTCGGGTTGTTGTCTCTATGACATATTCCCCATTTCCATTCTCAATTTTACATAAACCTATTTGTGTTGTTTGTTTTTATTATGACTTTCAGTGTAACTCCATAGCGTATTTTTAAATATCGAAGTTGTTTAATTAAACATTATATATGTGTACTTCTTTGTGCATTCAACTCAATCTTATTTTACCAAGAACAAATGATCGATGGATGTATAGATAAACATGAAAAATATCATATTACGTTAGTCGGACAAAACAATCTCTAAGATCTTTGATTGTTTTCATAAAATGTTCCCAATATGTCTTCATACCTTTGTTATCTTATAAACTTTAATCATTATGTTGAGGTTGAATTCGTGCATATGTCTTCAATTTAGTTCTTCGGTACCAATATGATTAATTAGATATTTTCTAATAAATAACGAACTTCTGAAGAAACCAAGATTTCTTTTCCCTCAAGCAAAGTTGACCTTTGATGAATTTTTATTTTTTGATATTTTTTTTTATCATATTTATCCTAACGTTTCTACGTATGTATGAATTGCCTGATTTATCAGATAAAAAGGTTCTAGAGTTTTTGGTGAAAGTTAACCAAGAAAAGCGTTTCGAGTGCAGGAAATGTGTAAAGTGGTTTTTTTTCACTTTGCGTGTATTGAAAATATTTATTTTCAGTTTTAAAATTGTACTTGTGTTATCGTTCGACATTCAAATATTAGAACGGAAAAATATTTCTAGAATATATTTTTTTACTTTTATGCGTTGTAGTTTAAGTCAATCTCAATTACAAATATGTGAATGAAACTGTCCAGTTTCAAATTATATTCTGATTTGCAAATTTTGAAGTATGTTGTTCTCCGTTTTGAGATGTTTGAAAAATGGGTACCGTGCTTATTTTTGAAAAAAAATGGAAAAAGATCGAATTTTCAAAGAGTAAGTTGAAATTATCTGACAATTTAAAAAAATTTTCTTACTGATTTTTCCTGGTATGCGTTTCTTATTTAAGAAATATTTCGTAGTAAGGTACATTTGCCATAGAGGAAAGTCGAACTGGGACCCTTTTATTTTCTATTACACCAGCTCATGAACAAATATTTGCAGACACACCATCAAATGGAAATACAAATGGATAACTTCCCCTAAATGGTCATTGGGCTTTCTTTCAATCATTTTTATTTAACTTACATTTTGTACATACAGTTTCTTTCAATTTATTGACTCTTTCATGCGTCCAAAAAGTATCTTCCTCTGACACAAAAACCGATCCAACAGACTAGTGACGAAGAACGACCGAATTCGAAATTATATAAGTTGTATTGTCACAATCACTCTACTGACTAGCGAAATGTGCTCAATGTTTTTACATCGTAAGAAAACAAAATATCCACCTGATCCGTAAGTTTAACGATTGTGTTCTATTTCTCATTGTGTCATTTTGACTGAGTATGTATTCGCATAGTGGGTGGTGCAAGTAAAGCATAGATTCATTATGTGTTATTCACATTTTTAATAAGTTTAAACCTTAAATAGGACATAAAAAGGCAACTGAAGGCATGGCAAACTCTTCTCAACAACAACCTCCACCTTATTGTCCACCGAACCAGCCTCCACATCACCAACAAGGTCAACAATATGTTCACCAGTATGTTCAACAGAACCCACAGGGATTCCTTCAATCACAGCCCTCAAGAGATGGATTCAGTGATATTTCCTGTGGATATGGATATAATCAGCAATCCCAGGTACCCCAACCAATGGTAAATACATCATCGACTAGTGTTGTGGTAAGTACTTTGAATACCAAACAATACAACACGACAGAAAGTTTTTACAAAATGTTTGATTTATGAGCCTATTAAATTGCACAGTTTTTAGTAGACAAAGGCTTCTAGCGTACAAAATTTTTAACATGATATCACTGACGAGTTGTTACAACCATTGGGTCGATGCCACTTCTTACATGGCTTGATCGTTTTGGTTTTTAGTTTTCTTTATCTTTTGAATCAAGGAGTGTGACTATATTGCAATCAATTTGTTCGTTCGTCTGTTCGTCCAATAAATACTATTTTCGCACTTCTCTTAAACACTAATGAACACAATGACTTCATTTTTGGTTTGCAACTTGCCAGTGATGTGTTATAATGTGTCAGGTCTTTTTGATCTTGAGATTTTTTTTTACTTCCTTATTGACGATACTTTATATTTTTCAATATTTTGAATGAACTTAAAACAATTTCGCCGCCCATTTCACCCGTTCAACTAGAAAGACTTCATATTTGGTCAGCAGTGGTAAGTTTAAACTGCTTTTCGGATGTATCAAACACCTATTTCCGATTTTCAGATACTTTGAAATACGAATGTACGAGTAAGGGTATGATTAGCACGACAACGCGTGCTTTCTTGTTTATGTGATCTTCCAAAGGTTTTGATCAGTAGTTAGCACCCCGGTGGTGATATGATCTATCATTGATACGTCAGTTTTATTTAATGTACATAATTTACTATTGAAAATACTATGGTTAGCTACTCCAGGCATATACAGCCTTCGCCAGATCTGACAGTATTTTTGGAAAGTTTTTGTTTTCAGTGTTCTTCAACTTTTTTAATTGATTTAATTGTTGTAATTCGAACTACATACTCTGGAATCGTTTATTTTCGTAGGTGCCAATTTTCGTTGATTCAGGTAAAATTGCATTTTCGGGAATATTTGATTTCGTGGTTTTCCCAAAGTCTGCAAAACGTGCTTGAGGCAAACGGAATAAGCCAAATATCTTTTATGACATGTTATGCAAAAGAAGAACTCATGGCCAACTTTAAAAGTTTATATTTATGAATATTTGCATTGGCTTTCATTTTATTTTCTTTATGGTATAGAACCACTAATTTGGGCCCGGTTAGAAACAACATATAAGAGAGTAGTACATATTTTAAACAAAATATTTCCTACGCATAGCTGTAGTTTTGGTATCAAATGAAAGCTTAAGGATTTGGCATCACTATAGAATCAGTTTCTTTGAATAATGAAAAAAATATATGAAATTATGATAGAAGGACACATTTGCCCTGTTGTTCTGATCAGAAGTACTTTTTATTGTACTACCAAACTTCCGGGAACCAGTGCGCTCTAATATTCAATTAAAAGTATGTAAAATTTTTCAGCACAATTCCGGATAAGGTCTAGTTTTGACATGAAATGACTGCTACTTTATTTGAACTTAGACAAAGCAGCAAGTAATGCTTGAAATTGCAGAATTTAACATAGAAAGCAATGGGGGCTTTAATTAGTAATTTTATTCCAAATATAAAGGGGGTTTGAAAACGCATTTAATTGTATTTTCATCGTAATTAATAAAAGCTGAAAACGGAAATAGACGCTTGTGGACTACTATGGGGGTTTTTTCGGTATTTTTTTAATCATTGCTTTATATGATATATGGATATACAATTTAGTTCATTTTCAAACTTTTCTTTCACCTTTAATGTGAAGTTTTTCGTTTAAATATACATTTACATATTTCATAATGTTAAATTATTTGAATATATAGCATATAATTTGGTTTATAATTGTTTCGACAGCAGCATTTTATTGCATGGTTGAGAAGTTCTTCTCTTAATGATCTATAACGACTTTCGGGTGTTTGTTTTTGTTTCTGTGTCTCGTCTAGAATTTATAGCTTAGCAGTCAGAGAGCGGTCAGATCATAGCCGTAAAAATAATTACTTTTGAAATTATTTAGATAAATAACGCTCAGTCTTCTTGTTTCGATCAGTTTGTTAACAGTTCTTGTCTAACCAAAAATATTGGAATTAAAATAACACTTTTTATATATATCTGAAGTTTAGTTTTTAACTTTTGAATGTTTTACGGATTACTATACACTATGGCTTCTCGGAGAAAAGGGAAGTCATCAAGTCGATATTCTCCAGATTCAATTGCAATCAAGAGACAAGAAAGTGACTGTTCGTCTTGGTCAGTTAAAAAATTCAAGGAAGAACTTGCAAATATTGGAATTAATATTACTTCAAAATTTAGTAAAACAGTGTTACAACAAATTTATTTTGATAATCTCAAATCAACATTTGTCAAATGAAGACCAGGAAGGCTCGCCAAATTTACAAAATGTGACTAGTCATTCGTCTAATGAACTTATAGGAAATTTATTCGAAGTTGTAATAGGACTAAGGAATTCTATGAATTCTAACAACAGGGACAATTATAATTCTCCCTTATCAGCGGAGTTTTCCGGGAATCTACAAGATACGCTACGAAAAAGGTTTCCTCAAGTGCACACAGCAGATGATCATGTGTTTACATTATACAAATGGTACGGTGTTTCTCCTAATGAAAGCGATTGCGGGATAAATCCCACCCTTAACACCTCTACAGCTACAATTAATGGAGTGCCGTCATCGTCTGTGCCTTTTTGGATATCATTTCACCAGCGCTTAAAAAGCAAATTTGATTGAAGGTAGAGACGTTAATTTAGATGGATTACTAATGAAAGATTACGAATACGTTCAGGCAGCTAGTTCTTTACTTACTAGCTGTGGTATAGAAATTAATTTGCCAGGAAAAAAGGATATCCGGCTTCATAGGTCGCTGACTATTAAAGAGTTCGTATGCGATTTTGGCAAATATAAGTAAGTCATGTGTAGGGTTTTTCTTCAACACAGCGAGGAATTAGATTGTTACCTAGCTAGCATTGTACAGATTGAATCTAGCTATGGTGAGAAATTTTATGAATATCATAAGCTTTTTGCCGCCAAAGCTGCAACTGCACTTCACGATTTTAAAGCTAAATTTGACTGGGGAGTAAAAGACAATGACATTCTTACGCTTTTCGCTCCGCATGCAAGGCCAGAAATTTGTAGACTTTGTTATTCTATCGATCACGGAACAAATGTTTGCCCTCGTCCTTCTCAATCAGTAGACCGTAATACTTATCCGATGAATAGACCATCTTCCGATCGCGTTGATGGGAAGGTCAGAACACGAGTTTTGCACGATGGGAAAGAGATCTGCAATAACTATTAAACCACAATGGGTTGCGCTAGACCGGGTTGTTCTTTGACTCATATTTGCAGTTCTTGTTTCGCTTTTCATCCCGCCTTCAACTGCAACAAAGATACTCAAAAGAACAAATCTTCTAGAGGGTCGACAACAATCAACAAAGATAAAAAATTACTAGTTACAATTCCCGTTATCGAAAATTCACCGATCAATGTTAACTTGTTACGTGATTTATTGCAAACACATTCGTATATAAATTTTGTTAATTTTCTTTGTAATGGAATAACCGAGGGGTTTAACACTATGATTAAATGTACTGATATACCGACACTTGAATGTAAGAATAACTTTTCAACTCGCTCTTAACCTTTCTCCGTGCGGCAGCTTATTGACAAAGAATGTGAAAAAAGTTTCTTGTCAGGTCCGTATAAAATTCCACCGTTTAACTATTATCAAGTTAGCCCTTTGGGACTTGCTGTGAGGAAGTACTCGGGGACTAAACGGCTTATATTGGATTTATCAGCCCCACATGACGATGATGATAATTGTAGTATTAATGACTTGATCAGTAAAGACGATTATTCAATGATGTATGTCAGAATAGACGATGCGATCAAAGTTATACGAAAATTAGGTCGTTTTTCATTGTGCTAAAAATTCGATATAGAGTCCGCTTTCAAACAATTAGGTGTTAGAAAGGACCAGTGGCATTTATTTTGCATTAAATGGTAAAAGGAATACTATTTCTTTAATAGACTAGCGTTTGGTTGTAGGAGCTCGCAATTCATTTTTAATAACTTATCTAGAGCTATTTGTTGGATTGCTACTAATATCTACAAAATTGAATATATATTTCACTTTTAAGACGATATTTTGACTATAGATAAACCCAATTCTTGCGCAGAGAGAACTATGTCATTAATGGCTACTCTTTTTAAAAGACTTAATATATTCAACTGACTTAACACAAGGTTGTTGGCCCTTGTACAGTTATTGAATATTTGGGTATTATACTTGATACGGAAAAGGTGGAGACTCGCTTGCCCTTAGATAAAACAAGTCGAATCAGTGAATTTATCAAGAAGTTTTTAAACAGACAATCTTGTACCAAACGTAATCTTTTACAATTGTTAGGGCATTTAAATTTCGACATGCGATTTATAATTCCGAGTCGTTCATTTGTTTCATATTTAATATCTTTATCAACAACTGTCAAGGATCTGAAAGACAAAATATATTTGACCGATGAATGTCGTACCGATTTGCGTTTTTGGTACTCGTTTTTTGGTAAACTAGAATGGCATGAACATGTTTTATGATTCTACATATACTAGTGTTAGGGATATCGAATTATATTCAAATGCGGCTTCTACCATTGGTTATGGTGGTTATTTCAAGGGGAAATGGTTTTGCTCTCCTTGGCCGGAAGATTTATATTTTCCATGGGGAAAGAAATATTCCATGGCTTTTCGAGAACTCTATCCTATAGTCGTTGCAGCCATCTTATGGGGCCATTCATGGACTACTTAAAGAATCTTATATCCATGTGACAATGAGGCCACCGTACATATTGTTAATAAAGGTAGTTCCAGATGTTAATTGATATTGAAACTTATGAGAACCCTTACTTTGTATGCCTGTAAAAATATTTTTTGTTTTCGCGCCGAACACGTTCCTGGAGTTCAGAATAATATCAGTGACTCTCTTTCTCGTTTACAGTTAGAACGTTTCAAGACCCTTGCACCTTTAACATACAAAGTACCTCACAAGTGCCGGTCAGTCTCACGAGTAATGTGACATTAAAGTCTAAAGTGTCGGATTTATGGCGACATGTGTTATCAACTAGAACATGTCAGACTTATAAAGTTGTGATATCGAGCTAATACTGCTTTTCTTGATAGCAACGGGGTTGTCTGGTTATTCAAACCCATGCATCCGATTTCTGAGGATATTTTTATTTATTTTTTCGCACATTGTTACAAAAACTTGAGACTTTTACATACAACCATTAAATTGTATTTATGTGGAATTCGGTTTTATTATATCCAAAGTAACTGTGAACATCCGTTTGATTTTACAAATGAATCGACACTCCATATACTCAATATGGTAAAGCGCGCCGTCAAACGTATTCAAGGAGAGCATATTCCAAAACCACGTCTTCCTATTACTTTTCAGGTACTTCGGAGAGTTTCCAATTCTCTTAGGACAGGTGTTTTATCTACCTTCACTGATCGCATGTTAGGAACGGCTTGCACAGTATCCTTTGTTGAATTTCTTAGATGTTGTGAACTTATTGTTTCAAATCATTTTGATTCTACTGTAAATCTCAGTGTAACGGATTTTGAGATTCTCGATTCGTATGCTATTCTGCACCTTAAAACCTCTAAGACAGATCCTTTTCGTAAAGGTGTCAATATACAGCTTCACAAATCCGACCATACCATTTGTCCTTTCTCTGCTATCAAAGAGTATGTCGCAATCAGGAAGGTTAGAGAAGCATCTTTTTGTTTTTCAGATCCATTGTTTGTCAAAGAGATTGATAGCGCTTTAGCCTGGGACTTTTTCATCAGAAGTCTAACACATGTACTAGATATTTGTGGGTACAGCTCTAGCTTATACAATGGTCATTCCTTTAGAATTGGTGCCAGTACATCGGCAGGATCTGTTAATATTCAAGATCAACTTATCAAAACACTTGGTCGGAGGACATCGGACAGTTATTTGCGGTATATTCGGATTTCCAAGGACAAGATTCGGAAAGCACAGAAGTCTTTGACATTGTCTAGAAATATCTGAGTCATATTTGATAAGTGGACATTATCGAACTTGAATGTATGTTCTATTACCAAACAACAAATGTACTTTAGCTGTGAACTTGTTGACATAGTTGCATTTTTATATGAACTAACTTTACTTGTTATGAAGTAATCAGCCGTTCGAAGAGTTGCTGTTTTTTATTCGCGATAAGCTTCGACATATCTTTATACAATATCGTTTAGCAGAAGAAACAATTTATTTTCACTTTAAGCCTAATCTATAGTGACAATTATCTGATTCGAATTAACCGATTTTATAGAATATTCAGCCGTTTGAAAAATGACTGTTTTTCCTTGATACATGTGGACTTATCTTTTACTGTAATTACTGAACTTGTATCATTGGGTTTTGTCGAGAAATGTGTATTTCAATTTAGAGCCTGCAGGAAACGTGAAAATTAACACATGTGAACTTTATAGTTTTTCGTAATATTCAACCATGTGACGAGTTGCTGTTTTATTTCTCTAGATACATTCGAACTCTACCGTCATGTTATTGTGCATCATATTTTTTATTTTTGTATATTCATTCTTGTTCTCTCTCTCTCTCTCTCTCTCTCTCTCTCTCTCTCTCTCTCTCTCTCCACGTTCGACTTGAAGGTTCTCCTTTATATCCCCTTTTAAAAATTACACCTCAAAATACCTTACAACTTGGGAAATTACTCAGCTCATATCATTTTTTTATAATCTGTGCAATGGCCATTCGTTGCACTGGTCAGTCTTTTATATGACAATTTTTTATCCCCTAAGTTCTATCAACTTACAACTCTCATTTCATTAGTTATACTGCAGTTGATAGGTCACGTCGAATTTCCTGTCAACCACTGTTTCGCAAGCATCCATAGTTCGCCCAAACTACACTTTACAACAGATCAGGATTCACGGAATTCGACGGAAAAATATCCTAAAAATTAGCTAAAATATTTTCAAAATTAGCTGAGATGATTTTCCAAGGGCAATACTACTAGTATATTATTTCATTTTTTTGTAATAAATTTTATATTTCTTTTATATTTGTCAGTTTTCTCTGTTGAAATTATTCGTTTTCAGTCAGGCATTTTGTCTCTGTTATAGCACCACCAGCCACTTAATTACAGACAGCTTTAACTTGGTACAGGTCATTAGGGTCAATTACAAGTGTATACCAGTTGTAACCTTAAGACGTTAATCAATGTGTTCTTAAATATGTCACAACGTTATTAATTTACGGTATACTTTCTTGGAGAAACTTAGTGATTATAAATTTGTTTTTTTTACAGGTTTCACAACCGCAATCTGGACCAACAATACTAGTAAATCCTGCTCCGTACAGCTACATGACACCAGCAGTATTGACCTGTATATTTTGTTGTTGGTTAACTGGGATTGGCGCTATCATAGCGGCAGCTATGGTAATGTATATACTAACAGTTTTAAAGATAATGTTTCGAGTCATTTCAAATATGTTTTTTATCTGTCATGTACAACGGTAAGAAACTATCACGTGGGAATCAAGAATCATAATTCATAAAAGCAAAGAAAACGCACAGCAAAAAGGAAAAAATAAAACACGAAATTAAAATTTGAACACTATATAGGAAATTAAAAATAGACCCCGCAAAACAAATTATATAATCAAAATAATTGTTTCATTTTTTTTTTTTAAAGTTGTACATTAACTAGTTTAATTAAATGGAAACTTAGATACTTTCTCAAGAAATTAAATTCTTTTGAGTGAATTTGTAACTGTTCATAACATCAATCAAATCTACTATTTTCTTTAATTTACAGTCCCAAGGTCAAGCTAGTGAAATGAAGTACGACGAGGCAAGAAAATCAGCTAACATAGCTAAAATCCTCACTCTCGTTACCTTATGTTGCGGTATTGGCGGTTATGTTATCGTTATAGCTCTTGCAGTGGCAGGTGCAAACACAAATGAGTACTAAGAGTTTGCATTGTTTTGCTGATTTATAAACAGATAGCTATAGGACAAGCATATCCAGGATTAATTAAATGTGCTGTTTGAATAAGTTCTTGTACATAGTCGTGTGGGTTTGTCTACGTTTAGTATTACTTTTATGTTTTAAAACAGTCCTGGCGATTTCTTTTTTTTTGCTGAAACCAAGCAAAATGTCGTTACAATATGAACACATTATATTGAATATTTTTTTTTTGTCAATGATCTTGATGAGAGGGTATAGTCATTCGAGCAAAAGGAATTAACAAAGTAAAATGTGTCATAAGACCACTTTCCACCTCTTCAACTCTAATTTGCATAGATCAATCCAATCACATCATTCAGATGTATTGAACACATAAGGTTGTCTGCTGTAAATATGTATATGAACTCACCATAGATACCAGGCTCAACTTCTAACCCTGCATTTTAGGGATCAAAGCCTCAATTTTAAACTGTGTCTTTTATATTAATACATGAACAACAGGCGTAGTAAAGGAATACTATTTTGGAACAAGGACATATATTTTTGGGGTTCGATTTTTGTTCATACAAACGTCCAACAGAGTTGATGAAAGACATGGTGACATCAAAGATTGAATATTATTTCCATTTTTGTTTAAAGAAGTCTTACAATAACTCTCCTTATATTTCCCAGGCAATAATACAACAAAAACTAATCCGTATACCTCTGCGCAAGGAATTTATTCTATTCCTATTGAAGTCTTCATGTTCATTATAGATATGTCGTATTTAATTTGGTCGGTTGCAATGAGAGTTTCAGATTGTTGACGGCATTGGGATGTCAAAAATATCTCATTCGCGCTATAGCATCAGAGAGCCTTCTTGACAAGGATTCAGTCTATTAAATTAGATGTAAATATTAAATTACAATGACTTTTTTAAATGTATTTTAATTAAACAAGTTCATTTTAGTAATTTACAGAGGACATGTAGTAATAAATCTTTTGTACAGTATTACTGCTCTGAAACTACCCTTTACATCACTGCTTTAAAGTTTCCTTTTCACGATTTTTTGAAAATACCAAAGTTGTCTTAATTATCTTAATTAACATATATGAGTACACTAAACAATAAATATATTTGAAATGTAATTGGAATTACACTTTTTTTACTGAAAATAATTATTTATTTACTATTAAATGAGTAGTTGTTATTAATTAAAGTGAATTTTAAATTACCCCATTCCTTCTCGGACACTATATGATGTCAGTAGTTCACTATCATGGTGTACACTGAGGTTGTGAGTTCAAACTCCGCCCGGGAAGGTTTGTTCAATTCCGACCTTAATTGACTATTATTGCAGGTTATCCCGACAAAGGTAATTGGCTTTTTGGGGCACTCTGGCTTCTCAACAAAAAAAGACATGCCACTATGACATAGCCAAGACAGCTAAAAGAACTGTTTAACACCACAAATCAATCAATCAATCTATACTGTCATTACTTTTCAATTTTTGTTATATGGGTTTGTTTAGTGGGTTTTTTAAGTCGTTTTTGTTCTACGTGTGTATATGTTTATGTTTAACAAATCTCAGTTAAAAGAATAAAGTCTGTCTTATTAATGCAGTTATATAACATTCGCAACGACAGTTAAACACGGATTCATAATATGTAAGATTGTATATAACAGAAATTCGTTTGATGAGACGTTTTTCTTTTTTAAATATTTTCGTTTTACTTTGCCAATCTCATTACATTGATTTCTTGCTTTTATTTTCTTGTATTTCGCCATAACGTGTAATTGTGTACTTATTTAGTGATAGATTTTTAATAAATGGGTTGTTTTTTCTAAATCTTCCTTTGATTAAATTAGAGTGGGCTCTGCTGCATTGATACATTTTTTACTTTCTGAATAAAGTGTGAAGATAGATTTTAAGATAGAATCTTTGACGAAAAAAGCACTATTATTTAATTTCCTATATGTAAATAAATCAATACTAACGCAGTTATTTTCACGCAAGATTACGATTCAAAAGTATATGCAATGATTTCCGTAACTATGATAAATGCGCCGTTTCCAATGTTACATATAGAGACTAGTATCGGCATCATGCGGGACAGGAAAATTTGTCTCTTTGAAAAAGATAGGTCAGTCAAAACAGTGAAATATCATCAATTAGCCCAATTTTAGTAAATAAAAAGTATTTTTTAAAAACGGATTTTTAACGTGCTAGTTCACAAGGTAACAGTCCGCATGAAGACATATCACCTTACCCAGACACATTATTCTGACTCCGAGCCGACCAGTAATGCCGCGTGCTTAGCGGAGAAACAGCAAATACCAATTTTAATGTCTTTGGTTTGACCCGGCCAGGGTTCGAATCCACGACCTCCCGCATTTGAGGCAAACACGCTATCAGGAGACTACCGAGGCGGTTCCTAGAACCAAGATTGCATACATTATTGTACAGGAAATAGAAAAAATACTCGCACAATGCATTTGGATTCCCATTAAAATTTTTATTTTTTACTCGATTTCTGCTTTATTTGACCGATATCAGGTCGTGTGATGTAACATGGATGTTCAAATTTTCATTAACAACCAGCACATAAGAAGGACAACTGTTTACTGTTTAGTTACCTTAAATTTAATAATGTTATAGTTTTCTAAAATAAATTGTTGTATGGGAACGGGGTATTCATTACTGCTATATTAATGTGGTCCAAAGTCATGTGAAAATGTATTCACAAAAATACCTAACTCCCAAGTAAATTAAACTAGAGGCTCTAAAGAGCCTGTGTCGCTCACCTTGGTCTATGTACATATTCAACAAAGGACATTCTCCAACATTGTAAACGAGAATAGAATTCATGACAAAAATTTCTGTTTTGTTGATCTTGTATTGATGATCTTTCAGTCTGTTTAGTTTCTCTCTACACACAAAACACAAAAGAGGGTAAAATAAATCGTCATTAAAGGGCTTTAACTCCAATAAGGAGTAGTCAGACAATTTCCTCCACATGTTTAAATTGTAGATCTTGTCTTGCTGATCATTTTTGCTTATCTAAGGTTCTATCTATCTTTTCTTTTTCTTAAGATATAAGGCAAAAACGCAAAAAAAAATGGTAAAAATCGTTATCAAAGGGCAATAACTCTAATAAGGAGTCGACTAACGACTTCGACCATGTTAACGTATTTGTAGAACTTGTTTTGCTGATCATTTTTGCAATTTAAAGTTTCTCCCTATCTATAATAGTTTTCAAGACAATAGGCAAAATTAAAACAAATGGTAAAATTTGTCGTTTAAGGGCAACAACTCCTATGAGAAGTCGTCTGACAGTTTTGACGTACATGAACAATTGGTAGAGCTTAAGATTCTGAACATTTTTGCTCCGTCAGATTTTCTCTATTTATAACGGTTTTTAAAATAACAGACAAAACTTAAATGTTAACCCCATGTTCTATTTTTTTCATGTCGGCCATCTTGGTAGGCAGGCGGGGTCATTGGACACACTTTTAAAACTAGATACCCTAATGATGATTGTGGTCATGTTTGGTTAAATTTGGCCCAGTAGTTTCTGAGAAGATTTTTGTAACAGTTAGAGACGACGACGACGACGACGGACGACGGACGCCAAATGATGAGAAAGCACACTTGGCCCTTTGGGCCAGGTGAGCTAAACAAGGAGAGGTCAATTAACCTGACAAAAAAACGCTCGTCTATATCTACCAATGAAACGAAGGGAATACAACCTTCATATTCCTGACTTATAAAATAATCTTATTACATTTATTTATTCACGCAAATTCATTTTTTCAACATCAGTTATGTCAACATGATTCAAAATATGAATTCCGAACCCACAAAAAACGGAGCCTATCGATAACTTTTGATTCAATAATTCAGGCCAGCAAATTTTAATGCATTTGCTGAAGTACGAACTTAATATATATGATATCGTTCAGATGTTTTCTTTTCTTTTAGATAATAGTTTGAATTAAATTAAATTAAAAATCATTATTTTCAGCCTGTTTGGATGTTATTAAAAAAAACACACAAGATGCACAATACATGTCATTTTTCCTAGTGTAATATTATGATTGAGTCTTGTTTTGCATGGCAGAGGATGCATAAGAATCATTTCTTTGGAATGGTAAATTCATCTCAACTGCAATTTAATGGGGGAAAAAGAATGACTCGACCGCTTTCATTATTGTTTCCAAAGTGTCCTTCATGAGTGCCATGATGGGGTTTACAGCATGGAAAAATGTAAAAGAGACAAATGACTTAAATTGTAAATGAGTAGACAAAGCGGCATCTTATTTTAAAGAACAAAGAAGAATAGGATGTTAAAATATGAAGAAAAGATAATAATTGGCGAAAAAAAGATTGCAGAAAACGACCAGACAATTTAAATAATACAGAAATTGAGACCCCTCTGGACACTCCTTAGTAGCCGCTCGTGTGCGGTTTACAGTCTAGTGACAAGAAACAAACAAATCCATGGTTAAATAAACCTACAGGGAAATGTCAATATACTTATTGATGCAGTCACGAAGGTGTAAATTACTGGAAAACACTACGACTTCATGATTTATTTTACAAATAGTATAGTTTTATACAATTTCCAACCTGACAATTATATTCATTTCCATTTGGTTTTAGAAATTGCACGATTTTGAATTGTTGTATTTCTAAGAAACAAAACGAAACTAGAAAATTGGGAATCGTTTTATCATGATATTTTCAGTTCTTCATGGTTGGCAAACATTTTGTTTTTTGACAAACTTACTAATCATCCGACCAGGATTAATGATCTCATTTTAAGTTTGACAAAACTTTATGTTGTTTAAATACCAGATAAAATTTGGAATTTATAAAAGACGTTTATTACAAATATACCAAAATACAAAAGTTTATAACACTTTATTCAGCTATAATATTTGCACAAATTTAAATGTAAATTGTGTATTATACAACAATATAGTGTTATCGAAAATTGTCAATAGACACCTCATACATACAAAATGTAAAGATAAAATAACAGTGTACGAGATTAAATGATACAAAAAGGCAATATTACGTGCATCGATCTATGTAAAGTAACATAGACTTTGATTCAAGTAATGTTGCTTTACTTTTCACTTATAGTAATCATGGGCTGTAGATGAGTATACCACAACCCTTAACACTATAATAATGACGACACCGATTACACCAAGGACAACAGTAAGTATTGTCAAGTTCCTGGCTGTCCTAGCTGACTGCTCAGCACTCTGCATGTTTCCACTATCAGCTGCACTGTTTGACTGAAGAATAAATAAAAGCAGAATGAAATATCTTACAGTGTACATTTTCGATTTCATCTATATTGAATCTGGAAATATATCTGGTCAACTTCATACAATAAGTGCTTTAAGCGGGAAATAATATAATCGGTGTATGATTTTAACTCACTAAAAAAATAAAAAACAGCTGTCAATATTGTTATATCGAAATATGTTTTATCGTAAAACTTATCGTTTGAAATCAAAGTATGTTTCTCCCTCCTACATACATGTAGCTTTGATAATTTAAATGAATAAAATAACAAATATTAAAGAAAAAATATTCTACCATGAAGTTCATAATTATGGTAATAAGACGTTAAAATCTATTTCATTGGAATATAGTAAAACAAATCGTTGAGAAGTGTTACAACTTTTCTATTCTGATCTATAAAGCTCACTTTCTTTTGACAAGAGCTTCTTGTTGTATACTTCATTTGGCAATTATTTTATATCAGGCAAACGCAAATTTGAGTCGTATAATTGCAAATTCAATTACTGTCAGTTTCGTAAAGGGTGAATTCCTCAAATTGTTCAGATTATAATTTGAAAGGCAATGGTAATGCTAACAGTTTATCATAATTTAATGCTGAAAAGAGAATCGATGAACACTATCAAAAAGAAGGGGGATATTTACTGATTTCTGCAATGAAGCAGAACCAATAAAATCTACCCACTTTCATCAGGAAGATAAAGCTAAAACATAAAATTCATACAAACAAATGAGCATCCTAGACACAGGGCAATCTGTCGAAATTGAGAAATATGTACACGAAGTTAGATGAACATCTTCACTGTTTAAACACAAATTCAAAACAATGCATGTGCTGACTTGAAAACTGTTTAAGAAATTCCGTCAAGAGGAATACCTTTTAAGTCTAACCTTTAGGTTGGAAACATTGTGTGATGCATTGAATACATGAAATGAGTACCCCCAAGATGCCGAAAATTGACAAAGGTCCACCACCTTGAGAATCAGCAAAATGTCCGAGTAGGTACATCGAGTGAGGTGCATATTAATAATATAATACTAGAAAAGATGTAAAAACTCAGAGATAAAATTAAGCAGAATTTTTTTACACAGCACAAGTTTATTTTTTCGACACCGGTCGAAAGCAAACATTCGTTTTGAATTTATTCAATTTAACGGTTTTTATGGAGAAATATGCAGAAATTGAATAAGGTTAAACATCTACAGAATCTGCAAAAAAGTAGCTTATATGAATAAAACATAATGTTCATACTAATATTTTAGTAAATGTGAAGGCTCGGATCAAATATTCAAAGGATTTGTTTACACACCCACCCGCTGTCATTCACCGTACCATAATCAAATGTGTACCTAATGCAAGACAATTCAATGAATGTTATGTATTTAACCAACATCTCAGGTCTTTTTATTTGTTGAAAACAGCTTTAACTTCGGATACAAATTGTAAAGGGGCATTAGCTACGAGATATAAAAAGAATAAAATTTGATCTTTTTTTAATCAATCATTAATGAAAGTGAAATAGTGAAATAATAATAGTAGCAAGTTTGATTTAATTTTGTCAAAATAAGATAAGAAATATCCCTGATGAATTAGTCATTTGCAAGTGAATAATTCGACCGCATTGAATCCCTATTCATGTGACCTTTTATTTAACTCCATAGCTAGAGATGGGTTACGCATGAGCTAGGCGTGTTCAACTATTAAAAGGAAAAGAATGTCAACATTGAAATTGAAACAAGGGTAAATCATTTGATTAACTGATTCGATCCACAAAAACTCATACTTATACAGATAAAAACGATGATTTACATATTTGTTTAATCTATAATATTAAATCAAACAGACCTAGAAAAATCCAATTGCACGTGTTCGCTAATTATTTGTATTTATTTTTAAGTTTATATCGGGTTATATGACCGTCGGCAGTCTTCGGAGGTCACCTCGATGGTTAATAAGATGGCGTCTAGACTAAAATACACACGAAATACGGATGCATATTATCTAGTCCATGCATTGTTAATTGTTCATTTTAGACTTTTTGTAAGTTGAATATAAGTTTTAGTACGTTATAAATCAAATATGAGGATTTGAATCAAATCGGTGAACAAGAATTTGATAGCTAATGCCCTTTTAACTTCAACATTTCACCACTTTAAGAAAAGAGAAAGACAACGTTTAAAAACCATTGTTCGAAATTTGTCAAATCCCAGTGTTTGATTCAAAAATAAAACAATAGTGCGACCATTGCATACAGATACCATATCAATATATTGGGGTTGAAAGACGGAATCAATGTCTTTCCTAGCAGGATTTGAAGAAAAAAGTTAATAATTGATCGAACTCGCTATTTGAACGTATGCAGATGATCTAATACAGAATAATACCAGATGTAGCTTCATTGCATGCAACAGTTTTCAAAACGTTTGATTGATCGACGTTTGTTCTAAGACGCTGTTTGAAAAGAGGAAATTCCTTCCAGTTCGGTTTTCTAATAAAGGAATTGATGCAATCAACATCAGCAACGTTCTTCATCAAAAGGAGGTAACATCTAACATTCCACATTATTTTCAAAATCAGTCTGTTCCTATTGTATGCTACAGTTACACCAAAACCATTGCACCTAATGTATCTAACTATAAGCAAGCATTGCAAGACCTTGATTTAGAACAATACCTAAAAAAACCTCTGACATGTGACTGTTCCCACTCGTCTTATATTTACAGCCCCTCTGGCCATGTTATTAGTGGGGTTCTAAACATAATTCAACATGAACATCTCCGAAAGGTGATATATCATGTACCTAAGTTTAGAGAACCCCAACACATCAATTGGAACCATAACCTCAAAATAATTATGGATTCCATTGAGGACTACGCCAGAGCATGGGCTAAACGAGAAGTTGAACTGGACACTTTGTCAGAATGGGTCAAAACAATCAGGTCTCTGATAAAACGTCGAATTCATAAGTTGAAAAAATGTGTGAATGATCGACCAAAGTCCGTTCTCAGAGACAAAGATGCGGTGAAATGTCTATCATCTCTTCACGATAAATATGTTGTTGTTCCTGCGGACAAAGCTTCAAATAATATTGTCTTTGTATGTAAATCTTACTACTACGAGTGTCTTATAAAATAATAAGAATAAATGAGCACTCAGGTAATCCGACGTACAAAGACATAGATGAGATTTTGGCGAATCATAAGTCCTTCATAGCTTCAATGAACATTACATTGAACAGCCAATCTGAGGACTTATCTTGTTTGTATTGGATACCTAAGCTTCACAAAATTCCGTACAAACAACGGTACATTGCCAGCTCATCTGCATGTTCTACGAAGGAATTGTCCGTTAGATTGACAAAAATTCTGTCCGGAGTGAAAGAGGGTCTTCAGAAATACTGTGAAGCTGTTTACTCACGTAGTGGTATTAGCCATATGTGGATTCTAAAAAACTATAAAGAATTTCTAGATAATTATAAATCTCAATCTTTCTCTGAAATTAGTTTTATCAAAACTAGTGATTTTTCAACTCTGTATACCACCATTCCCCATGTGAAATTGAAAAATCGTCTAAAAGAAATAATCCACAATGCTTTTAGATATACAAATGGTAGCATACGCTATACATTTATTACTTTGGGATATCATACGGCATATTTTGTTAATATTGAACAGAAGGGTAAAACATGCTACACAAAGGAACAAGTGATCAGTATGCTGGAGTTTCTTGTTGACAACATTTTTGTTGAATTTGGAGGTAGACTTTTTCAACAAATTGTCGGCATTCCTATGGAAACGAACTGTTAGCCTCTCCCTTCTTATTTTCATATGAGTCGGAGTTCCTTCAGACTCTTGTCAAAAACAAGAAGATCAAAGAAGCCAGATCATTTATTTTAAATTCAGATAAATTGATGATGTTCTTTCCATTAACAATCCAAACTTTTCTGATTGGGTTCCATTAATATATCCTCCAGAAGTAGAAATTAAAGAAACAACAGACACGGCTTCCTCCGCCTCATTTTTAGACTTTTTTAGACTTATACCTCGAATTTGACATAAGCGGTCATCTCAGTACCAGAATCTATGACAAACGAGACGATTTTAATTTTTAAATTATCAATTTCCCCCACCTCAGAAGCAATATACCAACTTCACCTGCATATGGGATATACATTTCCCAACTCATTCGGTATTCAAAAGTTTTCAGCTGCTACTCAGACTTTATTAAACGTCACCAGTATCTGAGCAGAAAGTTGATGAACTAGGGTTATGCCAAAGAACGTCTCGTCCTTTTTCTAAAAGAGTTCATCGGAAGATACCAAGACCTTGTTGATAAATATTCCGTATCAACTTCACAAATAATACATGATGGTCTTGAAGGATAGATTCTAGGTATTGACGTTGTTTATGATCTTAATTACGTGTTATAGTGCTCTTGTACTGGTCTTTGTAAATTATTACCTTTAATGTTTAGTCCATTTTTGGTAATATCCATTTGGCGTGGCTCGGTACTTATACATCCAGTCATTGTGTTATTGTGCTACGGTAAACACTTTGTATTCTTGTCTTTCATTATTGATGATGTGCTTTGTCTATTTGCCATTTTGTTTTTCTTTGTTGACATATTTTTTTGTTTTATAGTGATTTAAGATTATAACACAATGTTGACTGCTTTAATTACCACTATTTTTGACATTTTTACCTCTTATGTCTGTTTTTTTTTGTTCACACATTGTTGTCAATATAGTGGAATTTTAAGCGACTGTCATACAAGTGAGAGGTTTAGCTAGCTATAAAAGCTGGTTCAATCCACCATTTTTTAAATAAGGAAATGCCTGCACCAAGTCAGGAATATGACAGTTGTTTTCCATTCGTTTGATGTGTTTGAACTTTTGATTCTGCCATTTGATAAGGGACTTTCGGTTTTGAATTTTTCCCTGGAGTTCGGTATTTTTGTTATTTTACTTTTTAAACGTTTGATGATCCTAATTATAGACTATGTGTATAAATTGCATAAACTAACGGTGCATTCAACACTACAAATATGTATTATCATTTTTGCAGGCAATACTTACATTACATGCAGCTACTATAGCGCATATTCCTGTTGGCCAGAAGCAACAAAGACATGCCAAGATAGCAGGTATTAACCAGTTTGATGGTCTTGGTTGGGCTGTAGTCACTATCATGGTTGAAGGCACTGGCTGTGCAACCTGAAAAATAAAATAAATTACCCATGGAAGGTGATTTAACGTAAATATAGAATAATGCAGAGTTGCTTATTTGAACTTTATGATATTAAGGGTGACTCTTGTGTTCCATAAAATCCAACATAGCTAATACCGAACAGTCTGTTGGTCTTAATTTACCTGAAATTAATCATATTATTATACTATTTGCTGCTATTAAAACAGGCTTATTCTGTAAAATATATTTAACATGCTAAATCAGTTGAATTATATTCAATCAGCTCGTTTCATTAACTAATAATCTAAATTTGGGAATGCTGCATCAGTTACGTCCTACCGACAATGATAATTCTTTAGCTCTTGGCAGATATTATACTATTACTGTCTTTTGATGAGGTAGATATGTGGTTTTTATTGACTTTTGAAAAACTGATATTCACAGAGCCCAACGGCCGAAGTGAATATCAGTTTTTTCAGAAGTCAATAAAACCACATTTCTACCGAAAGAATAGACAGGAATTGTTTTATTCCGTATCCCGAGAGAGAGAGCATGTATGTAATGGCAATTATTTACCAAAATTAATTGTAAATCAAACAATTAATCATACACGTCAAAGCACACAATGTTTTGCGCGGTGAATATTCTTTTTCCGCATGTGAATATGCTGTTTTATTCAAATTCCAATTCATATAGAAACATCTACTAATGTTCTATCAATATGGAATAATAAGCATTCTCGTTCAATTATAAACATGATTAACTGATATTATGTATTCTGAGTGTGTTAACTTTTATTATTATACTTCACGTTAAAATGCCATATTTTGATTGGCTAATACGACGGTGTTAATTTACTCTATTACCCTTCATGGAGACGCTTGATCAAGTGTGCGCTTTATTAATTACGACTCTATCCTATGACAAATACTCTATTACCCTTCACGGAGACGCTTGATCAAGTGTGCGCTTTATTAAATACGACTCTATCCTATGGCAAATACTCTATTACCCTTCACGGAGACGCTTGATCAAGTGTGCGCTTTATCAAATACGGATGGTTGTTATGTATAAGACGTCATAGTTTATTACTTTGAATTTGAAATTTAATAGACAGTAATAACAGAACATTCAGTATAATAAATTAAATAACACATATCTGAGAGGGTGATAGAGCAGATTGTTACCCCTCGAAAAGACATTGTCAACCTTGGCTTCGCCTCAGTTGACAATGTTTTCTCGGGGTAACAATCTGCTCTATCACCCTCTCAGCTATGTGTTATTTATATATTAAGAGCTCTCATTTTATTAACTGATATAAATCAATCTCATCCTATTAGCTGATATTAAGCGTTCTGATTCTATCAATAAAATTAACGGTACCATATCAACTGATATCAAGGATTTTGTCTTAATCTGTTAACTGATGTTAAGCATTCTGATTCTGTTAACTGATATTAAGCATTCTCATTCTATTAACTGATATTAAGCATTCTGATTTTGTTAATTGATTTTAAGCATTCTGATTTTGTAAATTGATATTAAGCATTCTGATTATGTTAACTGATATTAAGCATTCTGATTATGTTAACTGATATTAAACATTCTCATTCTATTAACTGATATTAAGCATTCTGATTTTGTTAATTAATATTAAACATTCTGATTTTGTTAACTGATATTATGCATTTTCATTCTATTAACTTATATTAAACATTCTGATTTTGTTAACTGATATTAAGCATTTTTATTTTATTTATTGATATTAAGCATTCTCATTCTATTAATTGATATAAAGCATTCTGGTTCTGTTAATCAAAACTAATCATTCTCATCCTATTAACTGATATTATACATGGTGCTTTAGTAAACTGATATTAAAAATTTTGGGTTTGTTACCTTAAAGCATGCTAGTTCTGATAATAGATGTTAGGCATGCTAATTTTGTAACTGATAGTAAGCACTCTGATGTTGTTTAATAATATTAAGGATTCCGGTTCTGTTAACTGATATTAAGTACGTTTATGTATGCTGCAGCTGGTTCTGTAAACTCATGTAAAGCACTGGTGGTATTGTTAACATACTAAACCATTTTAGTTTCGTTATCTGAATGTAGTTTTTCTGAAAATTTAGGAAAAAAACAAGAGTTCTGTCTACATGTAACATTTTTCCTAAACGGTGGTAAATGACATTTATAAACATTAAATCAGAGACTTCATTTAATGCAATTTTTTATGCTTGCCGCACATTACTCAATTGGAATTAAAATTATTATGAGTAAGTTCCTTAATGTGTTAACTCGCCCTATTCCTTACATGAGGAATTTAGTCTGATCTTACCTTTAACAAGTTGAATTAACAGATTTTGCTCACTAATCATACTCTATCCCCCTCCCCGGTATAAGCTTTCAGTTGACATGCAAGAAGTTGAAGCGCAATGGCTTCGAAAATGCACCACAAAGTAGTGCATGCTCCCATAAAGCCTGATGCAAAATTTCAGGGTGCTCTGATCCATGCATTTGTGGTTCCTGAGAGAGGAAAATATGACAAAACAAATCATACAAGGTATTTTAAAGAAGGAATATATAATATTTCGAGAAACATGAATGTGATGAGGGATGTATCTAAAAATGCTTCACATGGTATAGCGTACTCACACGAAGCTTGATACCAAATTTCAGATGTCCCGATTTGTAGTTCGACGAAAAAAGAATCGACGAAACTTTTATACATGGCCTTTATGTGTACGAATAAACAGGTTAACAAGAGATGGATGAGCGATGTATTTGAAAGCGTAACATACAGTATAGCTTGCTCACCTGAAACCTGAAAGCAAATTTTGGGAATCTGTGATTTGAATTTTCGTTCAACAGACGGACATACCCTCAGACCATACCAAAACACGATAAAAACGATAAAAAGGCAGACAACAGTCTACAAATCACTCCATAGAAAAATACAAACTGGGCAAACCGAACCCTAACAAAAAATAGGGTGATTTCAGGGGCTCCAGAAGGGTAAGTAGGTCCTGCTCCATATGTGACACCAATCGTGTTTGCGCATAGTAAGCAAAAAATTGGTGATAAATCTCGTTTGGTGATGTCAAAATCGAATAAAAGAAGACAAGATTGTGGTAAAGACACATGGAACATATCCGTGGTCAATTGTGACAAAGACATTCAGTAACGCGTACGGTCAACCACCTCGTAATGGTGTCCGTACAACTTTTTTTAGGAATGATTTCAACTTAAAGGGGCATTAGCTACAAGATATAGAAAAAAAATGAAATACGATTTTTTTTTCAATCATTAATGAAAGTGAAATAGTGATATAATAATTCGTTTTCAGCAGCCAGTTTGGTTCAGTTCAAAATAAGCAAAGAAACGTCACTAATGAATTATTCACTTGCAAGTGAATAATTCGACCTCATTAAATCCGTATTCATGTGAACTTCAATTTAACACCTTAGCTAGAGATGGGTTATGCATGAACTAGGCGTTTTCAACTATTAAAAAGAAAAGAATGTCAACATTGGAAGTAAAACAAGGGTAAACCATTTGGTTGACTGAATCGATCTACAAAAACTCATTGTTATACAGGTAAAAACGATTATTAACATATTTTTTAAACCTATAATATGAAATCAAACAGACCTAGAAACATCCAGTTGCACGAGTTCGCTATCTATTTATATCTATGTTTATGTTTATATCGGGTTATATATGACCGTCAGCAGTCTTCGGAGGTCACCTCGAATGTTACTTAGATAGCATCTTCACAAATAATACATAGGAAATTCTGATACATATTATCGAGTCAGTGCATCGTAAATTGTTTATTTAAGAATTTTTATTATTTGGAGATATGTTTTAGTATGTCATAAATGTCATAAATCAAATATGAGAATTTGAGTCATATCGGTGAACATGAATTTGACAGCTAATGCCCCTTTAACAACTGGGAACCTTTGGTTCAAAAGCTTCCCTGTAAGCAACAATCTTCTTTCAAGGAAATCATGATAGGAAACGCAAGCTCTGGAATTTATATATAAGCTATATAGACCGCATGTAAAACACGGACTATATATTGTTTCTACTTACATCTTTGGTACTTGGTCACAAAAATGAATATACTTTGTATTAAGACCAACGGCACACTCAAATATTATTATTTCGAAGAAGTACAGATCCACTATTAAAAAAATAACTACAAGACAAAAGGTTAGTTATAAACACAAATCTACACATTAAACTAGAGAATTAGCTACATGAAACCCACTTAAAATCGTGGTTTTCTTAAACTATTTGCTCCTTTCATAACTTTGTATTATGACATTTTCCCTTCATTGATGGTGTTACAATAACGTCTTATTCTTTTCTGATACAATCTATGTGATATACCATATACCCATTCTGTTATCTTTTTTTTTATTTACGATTTATGTTTGTGTTGTGCACAAGTTCTAAAGTTATACAAATTATCAATTGTACAGGATTTTTGTACAAAGTTATCAGCAGTTTGGAACACATCTTCTTTCACCGGGTGGTATAAGTTAACCAGCATGATGTTTTACTTAAAATATATATATAAACTTAACCCTAACGTTAAACACTGACCTCTTTGTAATACGAGGACACCTGATTTGCTTAGATTTTATATTTATGTTTTCATTAATACCAGATTATAACAAATATCTTTTTTTTAATATTTTTGATAGTCTTCTTGTTTTATTCTATTATGGTAAGAGGTTCACAAAATACTGATAACTGTACAAAAATTCTGTTCAAACTATAATTTATGCAACATTACAACTTGTAAACAGCATATGCATTTCAATAATCATCTGAAATATATTTCTGTTTTATAATTCAAAAGTTAAATTTTCGACAGCTACTGTACATTCATTGTGTTTTTTGTTTCTATATACCATGAGATATCCTTTTTATGTTGTTTCAAACATATAAATACAACTGTAATTTAAACTGAAGATATATGTGTACGATTAAATGATAGCAAACTGTTCGTATATTCTCAAAAAAAGGAAAATGAATTCGTTAATTCGTTTTCTTTTCATATTTATTCTTCTTAAACTTACAACAACAGTCTGTCCTTGACCTCCATACATCGGTTGTTTTCCATAATGTTGTGTTTGAGGATAACCCTGTTGTGCATAGCCTTGGGGAACGGGTTGGTAACCAGTTGCATGACTGTATCCTTGTGGAGGTGGAGGCTGTGCATATCCTTGTGGATGGCTATACCCCTGAGGATACTGTCCATACTGTTGTCCTTGTGGTATAGTAGAAGCATAGGGTGGTGGAGGACTCTGTGCTGGATATTTTTCTAAAATATATAATATGAAAGTAACATTATGTATAGTTCGGATTCCTTGTCCGGGTGTTGGCTTTACTTTTTGTACTTTTTGGTTTTATCCGCTGCTCAACGTTTGTATTGTGCTTTAGATTTTTATAATTTGGCCTCGCGCATCAATGAAGGAAATTCGGTTCAGTAAATAGTATCGTTACTGCTTTTATATTAACATGACATTTCAGTATAATAATGATGATGGATGGCTGATTAACGTCCAGCGGCAAATTAATATGCATATTCAGGACGAGAACATGTTAATCATGTTAATGTTATATGAATATTTACCCTGCTTTGTACTAGACCGATACGCTGAGCCGGAATTTTTAACGTACTAGTTCACAAGGTAACAGTCCGCAGGAAGACATGTCACCTTACCCGGACACATTATTCTGATTCATAGCCGACCAGTCTTTGCTCTTACTCCTTTATGTCGCGTGCTTAGCGCAGAAGCAACAAATACAAATTTTAACGTTTTTAGTTTGACCCGGCTGGGGTTCGAACCCATGACCTCCCGCACTCAAGGCGAACACGCTACCACGAGACCACCGAGGCGGTTCTTACAGTATAATAAACGGCAATTGGATATGTACATGCATATGTAGAAACTCAACAATAGCTGAGTCATAACAATGATCTAAAGTATAGGCGTCCATTTTACCGTACATTGCTGCGAGTAATAAGCTACTTCAGAACTAACTAGCATTTTTGCATAAAATTAATACATGTACAATGCTGCAAAACATATTGTGAACGGAAAATCTGTGGGCAAAAATCTTGTCGTGTTGATGATTTTTGCTGGACCGAGATTCTGTCTATCTATTATAATTTTCAAATAAAACGCAAAAATTAGAAAAAAAGTAAAATGCTGATTTAAGATTATAACACAATGTTGACTGCTGTACCCCTATTTTTGACATTTATACCTATTATGTCTGTTGGTTTTGTTCACACCAAGTCAGGAATATGACAGTTGTTTTCCATTCGTTTGATGTGTTTGAGCTTTTTATTTTGCCATTTGATAAGAGACTTTCCGTTTTGAATTTTCCTTGGAGTTCGGTATTTATGTTATTTTACTTTTTAAGGGCAATACAAGAAGTCGACTTACGATCATTTTGTTGTTTAAATTTGCTTTCTATTTGAAAATAGTTTTCAAGAATTTAGAATAAAACACAACATAAATTGATAAAAATCGCCATTGAGGGCAATTTCTCCTAGTCAACTGATGATTGTGGTCGTCTTGATTTATTTGTACATCTTATTTTGCTGATTTGTACTTTTTACAGTGTCTCTCTATCTATCTACCATATTTTTCACTAAAAACGAAAAAATAGGTAAACATGCAGATAAAAGGCATAGCTAAGAAAGACTCAAATGGCACGTGACTTATTTTAATCTTGTCTTGGTGATCATTATATTTTTGAAACTTTTTCAAGCAGTAGTTGAACCATGAAAATGAAGACAAGGACAATGCACATATGACATACGGAAACTTCGTAACACAAGGTATCTGAATGAAAGGTATGAAGCATCCAAATCTTTTACCTTTTGAAATATAAAACTTTGTACAAATAGTTTACGCCACCGCTAGCGCCACCGCCACCGACGGGATAGTAATACCTGTCTCACTCTGCGACTTTCGTCGTAGGCGAGACAACTAGAATAACATGTGTTTACTCTATTTAATATAAATTGCTAGTTTACTATCCACAGCGGTCACTGATAATATATATAATACCAGTAACCGCTGTGGATAGTAAACTAATTGATGACAATTGTAAACTAAAAATAACGGATTTGGAGAGAAAAGGTGAGGGCACAAACGATTGCCTTGTCCCCAAGTACCTGCATGTAGAAGTTTCCCCCTATTGAAATTTATCTAGATAATTGTCAAAACACAAAAAAATATAGAATGTCGCCTTTTAATGTTAGTTTTATATAACTCCTTTCAGGAGTCTTCTGATGATTTCTTTTCAAAGTGGATAGAAGGTAGATTTTAACACTATGGGCATTTTTTCATTTATTTAAACATATTTTATTTGTTATTACATATAACAAAAAGGATCAGACATAAGTTATCACAACTTAGATAGTCCGCTCCTAAATATAATAAGTTATAATATATAAATATAAAGACATGCAACAACAACATTAGATAATTATAGATTTGTACAATAGTTATAGAAAAAAAAAGAAAGTTCACAATTTCCCAAAAAGTTAAACAACAGTCCTACGTCAAAAAGTTTACTCATGGATATCTATATCAGTTAAAAAAAAAAAATTATCTTTCTAAAGATCAAAACGTTCACTTTTCCGAATAAAATTCAAGACATCTTTAATTAAAGATGTATTTTGACTAAGAGTCAAATTTTCGTTTCCATTTAGTAAAGTACCAAGATCAAAAGACGGAACAAAAAGTAGTTTGTCTAAAAGGTGAATTCTGATTTGTGCATAAAGCGGACATTTTTGCCCCACCCAGATTTTTTTATTTGTATAATGGTTATCCAAGATATTAGCCACATACTTGCATTTTACTCCTGTATTCTTTTTATAGCCATGCTGGACATGTTTTGTTATAAAGTTAACGAAGACGACGGGCCGTACTAACGATGATAATGTTGCTATCTAACGAATATTTTGAGTATTTCTTCATTTGCTTTCGCATTGGAAAAAATATAACACAGTTGATTCTGTTTTTTTACACTTTTACAAATGTTGCTGTTATTGCTGTCTTCTTTTTGAACATTTCTGAGAGACTATTTTTAAATTAAATCGGGGGTACATAGGACAATTATGATACCATTTGGTAGTTATAGTACACTTATATTAGGTGTCACAACTTACCCGAATGTTGTCCTTCTGGTGCCGGATAACCAACCTGATGATATGCTTCAGGGGCTGATGGATAAACACCGAGCCCAATCGCTTCTGTGAAAAATAAATATTATTCTGTAAATCATCTATTTAATTACCTGAAGTCAAGACAAATAGAAATTTTATGGAGGATAAAATAATCTGGAACAAGAAATAATATGTAAGATGCCAACAACAAAGTCTCCAAAACCTCATGCATGATTGAGAGAAAACCTCATTAAATATTTGAACCCACAAAAACAGTAAAATCCAATTTGAAGCGCCGTTGAAAAGTTGGAAGGTGTTCAGTTGTCTTGGGGGCAATTGCTGGACGGTAAATTAATGTATGTCATTTGTGTCTCTTTTTAATCACAAAATAAAGGAAAATACCTTTCAAGGACCCATCAGTGGCGTCTTCATAACCTTACCCGCTTAGTCTACGAAACAACAACTAATGATAAATCCTCCTTTTCAAGCCTCTACAATGCAACAATTCCCTTTAGAGAATCCCCATTTCACTATATTTATGATGAGTGTAAACCTCCAAAGGTCACATAACAAAAAGTCACAATTCAGTTTGAGATAATTTTATCTTTGATTAACAAAGACTTATTATTTTAAATGATTGAAGAATATGTTTGATGAATTGTGTATAATAACTTATCCGTAAACCAGATGTATTTAATAATGATATCTTTTTTAATAAACTTGAAATCTGGCTTCATTGTGTCAAATAAATATATCTTTGAGTTCCCAAGTTGATGAGCTTAAGCCAAATCGATACCGCGTTCTTCGGACTCCCCCGCGTGTTATAAGTTCGGCACGCAAAGCAGATTTTGTTCGCCTGCGTCCGAATTCGTATTCTAAATTTTAAGACAGTCGTGTGTTTTAAAATCATTTTATTTGGTTTAAACGCGATTTTTGACACTTGACTGACACAGATTTTCACGAATAAAATGACGATATATGTGTGTTCACGAGTCGAATATTTATTGTCGAAGCCAAACTATTATTGATAAACACGCTAAATAAGTAATTGTCGATGCTGGTCTCTAAGTTAAGTAAACGATGTATTGTCTAATAACAGGTCTCTATTCCAAACTCGTGTCAATTTAATTCATATCAACCAATCTATAAGAATATAATCACTTTAAATTCTGAAATCTTTAGTAAGCTTTAACTATTTCATATCGAACTCTAGTCATGTCGGACATTGCTTAAGTTTTTTGCAAATTAATGTTTATTTTGTATGCTTGAACATTCCCGAGGTATACTATATTGACGTTAATTATTCTATCCCCAGAAAATTCAGAATGCCTGTACCACCCCCAAATTAAAAATATGACAGTTGTTTTCCATTCGTTTGATGTGTTTGAGCTTTTAATTTTGCCATTTGATAAGGGACTTTCAATTTGAAAATTTCTTTGAGTTCGGCATTTTTGTTATTTTACTTTCTTCTATTCACATTCTTTGCTTTTTCGTCAAAAAAAAATAATCTCAACTTTGAAGAAAAAAATGTTTTGATCGGGAAATGGAAAACAAAATTCTGATTGAGAGTTTTTGTTTTAAATCTATTTTCCAAGTTTTTAAAAGTAGTTCAGCGCTGTGCGGCGCCAAATAAATAATAATTTAATGCTTGCGTGGAACGTAAAAAATAAAGAGAATATTATGAGGAGGTATAGAGAATAATAAGCAAAGAAAAATGAAGAATGACATTATCTATTTGCAGTAATGAACAGCTTTGCAGACTTTCATGTATACCATACATTTAGCCCAAATGTAGAAAGATGATATCAACATCTCTTCAAAAGTGGCTACACCCTTCCGGAAATAGGTTCTTCTATTTCACAAAGCCAACATGTTCCATTGTTAAGATTTTGAATGAAGTAGTGGGGCTTTTTTTTTTTAAAGAAAAACATATTTCCGCGTTATTATAATACATTTCCCTTGTGAAATACAGTAACATTGTACTGAACACACCGACATGACCTTGTTTACACAACCACCATACAATAAAGTTATGCTTGGTTGAATGCAATGATAAATAAACTGCTGTGTATATGCATACAAAATTTAGAGAAATTATTTACCTTTTCATGCAATTTTGTATGTATAACCACGGGGTACTTCCGTTTACATATATATTTTAACCATGGCAATATTCTTGTAATTGGTCATGTTTTAAATATACATGTATATACAACTTCAATTAATGCTAGTAAACAGAAATATATATGTATAAATATAATTAATATTACTGAAAATTAATGAAATTGGGTGTTCTTATTTCTCCTAGAACAATCATCAAATAAGTGTATCCACATTTTCTGATGACTTACCTTGATTTTTCTCGCTCATTTTATATGTACGTTCTCTGCCAACAGTTTTTGTACTGTGTTGTAAACAATCCAGGTGGAAAACCCCAAGTAGCGTGTGTTTACAATGTAGTTATTAAATTACTACACGTTATTTCATAAGAATGTGTTTTTATATGCAACATCTGATGATGCTGACAGTTACACATAAAAACATGTTTGCATTTCCTATTTATTTTGTATAATTGATCTTTAAGTTAACAAAGAGACGTATAGATTAACTAAAAATAACTGAACTTTACAGATTGTAACCTACTAATATCTTGTGTGTATGTCTATTTCACAACAATAGGTATTTTTATCTCTGAAAAATACCTAAATATAGGCACATTTAGTTAAGTACCATATGCAGTATAGATTTTTTAATACTTAAGAGAAAAGCGCATAAAAATTATACTCAACTTTCAGAATCGTCAGCCTTTTCCCGTCAAATTGTGTGCAATATTTTTAAACTATGATTAAAAAGACCTGGTAAGGATTCATGGTTTGTTTTAAACTATATGCTCACATCTAAATGCGCCAGATATCTTTTTTAAAGATAGTGCTTGTTATTGTATATTCAAATATACAATTCCTTGTTATAATCTTTAACAAAGAGACGTATCGATCAACTAAAAGTAACTGAACTTTAAGTCAACCCCGATGACCTAATTACTTCCCTACATAGTCTAGCTAGATGAACCATAGATGGACGTATATTAGATGTTACTTATACGTCCTTGCATGATGTGATCATTAGCATATAAATAAAACAAAATCTGTGATCTTTCAACTTAATGGTCATAATAGTAATTAACATATATTATATATAGATACGATAACACAACACTGTGTCTGCTTCTTCTCATTCGTGATATCGAGAAAATGATTGTGAAAGAACAAGTAACGGTGGTCAAGTACTGCGATTGGATCGTGAAAGATCTGGTATACAGGGGCGGATCCAACCATTTTTAAAAGGGGGTTCCAACCCAGGATAAAAGGGGGGAGGGTATTTCCAACCATATGTCCCCATTCAAAAGAATGGATCGCCAAAAAAGGGGGTTTCCAACCCAAGGACCCCCGCCTTTTTGGATCCGCCACTGGGTACAGGATCTTGAAGGAAATTTTATAAGAAGACACATGAAACGTCAGTAAATAATCTAATTGAATGAATAATAATGACAAATATTGGAAAAATAAAACTGTCTGTCAAAATGGTTCAACATCATAATCACATGGATCAGTTTCAGAGAAAATTCAAGTTGAAAAGTACACCGTTTTTACGAAACTACAAAAGGCAGATTGCTCCTCAAAATTCAGTTCAAAGAAATAAAAAATGTAAACGCACACCTATTTTTTTCTTATCTTAAATGCATAAACTAATTTTCTCTTAAAATATATGGTTCCATATTACTGTTTAAAGTGGTTCTAAAAGTTATTTAGTTTTTTTTTTAATCAGAAACTTTGCAAAAATGGTAATATTTGTAAAAATTGGATATTCCGGATCGTGAATGAACTGGTACAACTTTTTGATGATCATGAAAAGGATCGTGAAAAATCTGTTGCCGCTTATTCGTTATTGCAAAAAATCCACAAAAACGACCAAATCATTTTTTTTTAAATACATGATAATATGTATATGTATATGTTATTGTTATAGCAAAAGATTGAATTTGCATCACTTATTCCGTTTCATATTTGTTTGCGAATAGGGCTATGATAGTTTAATGCCATTGGATCTGATTATTTGATTTTTTGATAATACCACACCGACTATTAATTTGCCTTATAACAATATAGGTCCGTCTGTCCGTCATGCATCTGATTTTAATTAATTTTTATGCACCTCCATATCTATAAAACGAAGATCCTTGTTGATTTTTGTAAAAATTGGGTAAAAACACATTACGAATTGAGAAATGTATACTCCATACGCGGATGAAGATGGAAAATTGCTGCTAAGGTGAGGAAAAATTATAATTTCAAAATTGAAATCATCTTTTTTGTCATAGACTTTTGTATTGAGATGACTGCTGTAGTCAAATTCGGGATATATGAGTCTAAAAATTAGAACGAGGAAGCTGTATATGTGGTGTCTCTAATCTCTAGTTCAGGACTATTAATGGGACCCCATCAGAAAAGTTTGTATTGTTAATGGAAAGAACATCTTCAATATATTATTACCCTTTATGTAAAGTTAAATGATATAACTTTTTTTTTTATCTAAGATGAACCCTTCAGAAAACAAAAACGTACACATTAAGATATAACTAGGGATAAACCACCAGACCCCATCTCGCTTCACTCATTCGTGGATGCATTTAGCATTATAAATACATAGATATTTACCTTTCGACAATTTACAACAATGTACGCTCCTTGCATTGCTTCTTAAATGAAAACAGGGTTAAATATGAGTATATATGTATAATCAGATTGTTTTTTTTTGTTGTTGTAGGTATATATAAATACCCTGCCACGTCCTGCCTGTGTTTTTGTTACTTGTTTTTCTCTTTGTATCGATCTGAAGAGTTAAGCCCTTTTCAACTGATTTGTATAGGTTTTTCATATGTTGTACTGTTACACCACTGTCCGAGGTTAGGGGAGGGTTGGGCGCCGCTAACATGTTTAACCCGGCCACATTATGTATGTGCCTGTCCCAAGTCAGGAGCCTGCAATTTAGTGATTGTCGTTTGTTGCTGTATATCATACTTGTATTTCGTTCATTGTTTTTTTTTTACATAAATCAGACCGTAAGTTTACTTTTGAATTGTTTTACATTATTTCCGGGGCCTTTTATAGCTGACTATGTGGTATTAATGATTCTGCTCATTGTTGAAGTCGTACGGTGAACTATAGTTGTTAACTTCTATGTCATTTGGTCTCTGGTGGGGAGTTGTTTCATTGGCAATTATACCACATCTCATTATTTTTATATAATGTATATTTATCACTCCCCAAAAAAAATAAAAGCGTTAATTTACGTTCTTAGGCAGTAGTTACACGCTTCAACCAATTAAAAGTATATCAAATAATAAAGAGAAATGTTGTTTTCTGATCACTAAGTCAGATCACGCCTCGTCTTTCACGATCAAAATAATGCGTTGCCTGATCTTTCCCGATCAATTTTGTTTAAAAATTAACAAAATTATACTTTTTCAAAAATATTATGAACTTTTTTCAAGTAATATAAACATACTTTTATTTTACTGGACTTGCTGACACACTTATTAAGATTAAATTTCAAGTGATTTGTTCTTAATGATTCTCATAAGGTTGCGTGTCGCCTTTTGTGTTTTCTTAAAAAGTACTGCATTTTTTCTTTAACGTAGTGCACATTATTATGAAGGAAGTTGAATCATTTTGACAGACATAATTCTTTTTTGGGGTTTGTTCCACCTTTTGAAAATACAGAAGATTTTTCACAGATTTTGAAGTATAATAACACTTAATTGCATTCACGATCCGATCGCAATGCTTGACCACCGTTAGTTATTCTTTCACGATCACTTTTCTCGATATACAGAATGACACACGTGTAACAGGGTAGTCTTATAATATATGCCTTCTCATTATATATTTTCGTTATTTAACTTTTAAATGCTGATATTTTCATATTTTAAATGGTCGGATGACACATTGATAGAAAAAAAAATAAAAAAAAAATAAAATTAATAAATAGCAAAATAAATAAAAAGAAAATATCAGAAATAAAAAAATAATGGAAAATTATGACCCCGAGGTCATAATTTTTATATTATAGGACTAACAAAAAAACTGATATTTTCTTGAATTCTGATGTTTCTTTGTTGGCATAGATAGGTTGAAGACACCTTTTCAGTAGCCCTTTCCGTCATGATTTGAGGGCGGAACTAAAGAAAATGACTCAAAATATCTACCAGAAATATAAAGCCAGTTTGAGTGATTATTTTCATTAAATATGATAAATCTAACGGTACAATTATTTTTATTACACAATGTTTATTTATATTGCATATAAATTTAGAAAGCACTGATCTATTTCAAAGCAGAAATCTTGAAATTTATACAATTTTAAGTTAATCGAGTTCCAAAATTTCACAACTTCAAAAGCTTCATCATACAAAATGGACTTTTCATTCCCTATTGTTAATTTTCCTTTTTTAGACGGCGATGTTCCTTTGGCGCCATCATACGGTGTTTATATATCCCAACTCGTTCGTTATGCCCGTGTGTGTAGTGATGTCAAAGATTTTAACGAACGTAATCAATGCATCACTGGTAAATTATTAAGTCAGGGATTTCGTTGCCATAAATTACGTAAAACTTTTACTAAATTCTTTCATAGTTACAAAGATTTGATTAGTAAATTTGGCTGTACCTGTAGAAAACTGATTAAAAACGGTATTTCACATCCTAAATTTTACGGTAACATTGTACTTAAAGCGCGGAAATCACTATGTGATCCGTGTAAACTCATCAAACCTTTAAACAAACTTATTATTAAAGGCTATCTTACCAATGTTGTAATTAGATCTCTGAATATAGTTTACATTGGCACTAATATCGATTTTGTCATCAGCAAATTAAAACATAACTGAATTTGTATTCTTTTCAAACGGGGTATATAAAGACACACCCACGTTCATTTTAATCTATAAAGAGGTTAACTCCTAACTATCCTATTGCCTGTCGATACATTTATTTTTGGCATTGCACAAGTCACGTCTTCTTTGACTGTCCATGACGTTAAAATACTAAATACCTGGGATGTGTTTTAGTTGATTTTAGTCTCTGATGCATGATTTTTTATTATTAATTGTTTTTGGCTTTTAACTATCTGTCAGTAACTGCGAGTACTCTCAAATCGTACTTTCTTGTATATTTGACCTGTTGATACTAATTGTAATGCTTTTTTGTTATTTAATGTTATTCAGGGTTATATCTGGTCTATATACCAGTTTGATAAGTGTTTGGTATTACTATAAATTTTCACTTCTTCGGACTATGAACATCAAAATTATTTATTTTGTAAAAATATTTCCTTTCTCCATTTGAACTGTACACGTATACCTAACAACAAAATTATTTTCATTTACCTGTGTTTAAAGTAATTGCAAATTGCTGATATTTTTGTTCAAGCATATTGTTTGTCGTAAATTGTTTAACATTTCACAGCGGTATAACATGTTACTTTAATTATTCTTCCTTTAGTTTATTTATTTTGTATTTACATTCACGGTATCGTAGATCAAATTTTTTTGTTCAGTGTATGTTCACTGGTGTTAATATGTCTTTTGATTGAGTTAAGCCATTTCAATTGATATTTTATAGTGTGTCTTTCTATGTTGTGATGTTACACTATTGTTTCAGATAAGGGTGAAGGTTTGGTACCATTAAAACGTTTAAACCCGCTGCAATTGTTTGCACCTGTCCTGAGTCAGGAAGCTGATGTTCAGTAGTTGTTGTTTGTTGATGTGGTTCATAAGAGTTTCTCGTTTCTCGTTTTTTATATAGATTAGATCCTTGGTTTTCCCGTTTGAATGGTTTTACACTTGTAATTTTTTGTGGCCCTTTATAGCTTGCTGCTCGGTGTGAGCCAAGGCTCCGTGTTGAAGACCGTACTTTGACCTATAATGGTTTACTTTTATAAATTTTGACTTGGATAGAGAGTTGTCTCATTGGCACTCATACCACATCTTCTTATATCTATGTACGGTTACGCGGGGATATTTGCTATGGGAAAATGAGGACTTTCAATAAGACCTTAATTTAATATAAATATAATATAATATAATATAAATTTAATGAAAAGATTCCACTCTCAGACTGCCATTCATAATCACACACTCAGAACGGTAAAATTAAAACTGAGATATGGAATTAATTATCAAGTACTTTTCCTGGTTTAGCTATATCAAGACTAAATGAAACAACCAAAAGTTTTAATAGCCAAATATGTATGTGTAATTAGATGGATAAGCAAATGAACAAATCATACGACCAAAATTGTCTAGGGTCAATTTTAAATTAACAGATTTTGGAATAAATTAGTGTTGAAGAACACTTAATTCCTCAAATGAAAACTTTTCCAACTGTTTCTGACCATGGACCTTTAAACATCATGATAGCGGGAGCCTGTATATATTTTTAACCCCGCCACATTCTGTATATGCCTGTCAAGAGCCTGCAATTCAGTGGTTGTCGTTTAATGCTGTGTATCATATTTGGTTTTCGTTTATTGTTTTGTACATAAATCAAACCGTTAGTTTTCTCGCTTAAATTGTTTTACATTTGTCATTTCGGGGCCTTTCATAGCTTGCTCCATATGCGATATGGATTTTGCTCATTGTTGAAAGTCGTACGGTGAACTACAGTTGTTATAATAACTCCTACGTCATTTGGTCTCATTGGCAATCGAACCCATATTCTTATTTTTATATTAATATGTAGACAGCATATTTTAAACTGTATTGGACAAAAACTTTACAACTTCAACATTTAAAATTAATTTAAACAATAATATTTTATAATAATGCTAAATGTTCAACTACAAAATTATACTGTCATAAAATACAATGTACTGGAATTCATGACACAAACGTAAATGCAAAAATTACTATAGTCTATAATGCTGCATTGAGGTCAGAGATACTTCAATTCCTAATTAGCCATAATAGGAGGAACTCGATGAGTATGCCATTACTCTCAAGACTATGAATACTGCAAGGCATACGGCACCAAGTATAACAGTTATGATTATCAAATTCCTAGCTTTAATTGCCTTTTCCTGAGCAAATTGCATGTTACCGTCATCAGCTGCTTGGTTAGCCTGATAAAATAAAATAAAAAAATAATTTAATATATTGCCAGTTTCATCTTTAAATAATTCTTATGTGATTTTCATATCTACAAATACTTGAATGTGATTGGTCCGTTAGAATGTTTTTACTTGGTGTACACTTCGATAGACCATGTTCGTAACCTTTTTAAATACTATGTAGACTTCACTATGCTATATTAATGCGCGATAGTACACATTAATGAAATCCCTAGGTTCAAAGAAAGTTGAAGTTGAAAGAAGAAAAACCGAAATGTTTAGATTAAGAATTGTAAGGATTAAAAACGTTTAAAAATGTGTTTAATCCTATATAATATTTAAGCGTATGTATGGTATGCACACTTAAGAAGACGATTAAACTTACTGAAGCTTTTACAAGTTCGTTTGCACAGTCGATAGAATTTCAAAGACTAATAATAGAACTATACATGGAAAAAGACACGAAGCCCGTTTATGAAATTTTATTTACGTATATTTCTAATTGGGTTTTTTTTTTAACAACTTTCAAATATAAATAATAATATTACTCTCATTAACTGAATCCTATCTAAGGTAAATATTTATGAAAAATATCAGGTCTATATTAAGGAGTTGAAAAGTATCTTATTACCAAGTATTTCTTGAAGCAAAAATAGAATAAAATGCTCCCAGGGCGCAGCTTGATACGATCGCAAAGGTCGAACCCTGAACAGTTGGGGCAAGTATGGACACAACATTCAAGCTTGATACAGCTCTGAATTTGGATTGTGATTAAATATTTGACACAGCATAGGTTTCTGAGACAGAATGAATGTGGTCTAAGAACTTAAAAATTTTAAATTGGACATTCACCTATTATGGTCCAATATCCAAAATCTAAATACATGGTTAGATTCAGCATATCAAAGAACCCCAAGAATTCAATTTTTGATGAAATCAACAAAGTTTAATTTTGGACCCTTTTGACCTCAATGTGGACAAAGTTGATAACGGGGCCCAAAAATCAAAAATCTAAATACATGGTTAGATTCAGCATATCAAAGAACTCCATATATTCAATTTTTGTTGAAATCAAACAAACTTTAATTTTGGACCCCGATTTGGACCAACTTGAAAACTGGGCCCAAAATCAAAAATCTAAATACATGTTTAGATTCAGCATATCAAAGAACCCTTAGAATTAAATTTTTGTTAAAATCAAACTAAGTTTAATTTTGGACCCTTTGGACCTTAATGTATACCAATTTGAAAACGGAACCAAAAATTAAGAATCTAAATACACGGTTAGATTCGGCATATCAAAGAACCCAAATAATTCAATTTTTGATGAAATCAAACAAAGTTTAATTTTGGACCCTTTGGACCTCAATATGGACCAATTTAAAAACGGGGCCCAAAATCCAAAAACTTAATACACGGTTAGATTCAGCATATTAAAGAACCCCCAAGAATTCAAGAATAAAACCCCATTGAAATTGGTCAAGAAATAAGCAATTTATACGAAGTATCTTCTTTTGCACAATACTGTACAATTGACAATTTCTTGCTATTGCGCAATATTGTGATATTGGATATTTCTTGCTATTGCGCAATACTGTGAAATTGAAGATTTCTTGCTATTGCGCAATACTGTACTGTGCAATTGAAGATTTCTTGCTATTGTGTAATACTGTGCAATTGAAAATTTCTTGCTATTGCACAATACTTATTATATAATAATTTACACATCCTGTTTGGTGTATATCTCCTACCATATCATTATTATTTGCTTTTAAATATAAATCAGAAATAACCAACTTAAAATGGAAAATATTAAAAGAAAAAAAAAGGAAAAAAAAGGAAAAAAAAAAATCCCCCCAAAAATTTTTTGAACCCCCTTATGATTCATCACCCCCAAACTCAATCCCAGCCTTCCCTTTGTGGTATGGTACCTTGCAGTACAATTTCAGAGAGATCCATACACTTGAACAAAAGTTATTGTCTGGAAACTAGAAAAATGCTTATTTTTGGCCCCTTTTTGGCCCCAAATTCCTAAACGTTTAGAACAATTACCCCCAAACTCAAACCCAGCTTTCCCTTTGAGATATGGAACCTTGTAGTACAATTTCAGAACGATCCATACACTTGAACACAAGTTATTGTCTGGAAACTAGAAAAATGCTTATCTTTGGCCCCTTTTTGGCCCCCAATCCCTAAACGTTTCGGGCAATTGCCCCCAAACTCAATTCCAGCTTTCCCTTTGTGATATGGAACCTTGTAGTACAATTTCAGAAATATTCAAACACTTACACACAAGTTATTGTCATGAAACTAGAAAAATGCTTGTTTTTTTCCCCTTTTTTGGCCCCCATTCCTAAAATTTTGAGGAATTACCCCCAAAATCAATTCCAGCTTTCCCTTTGTGATATGGAACCTTGTGGTACAATGTCAGAGAGATCCATACACTTACACACAAGTTATTGTCTGGAAGTTACAAAAATGCTTATTTTTGGCCCCTAATTCCTTAACTGTTGGTACCATAACCCCCAAAATCAATCCCCACCTTCCTTTTGTGGTATTGAACCTTATGGTAAAATTTCATAGAGATCCATTCACTTAAACTAAAGTTAGAGTGCGAAAACCAATGTGTCTTCGGACGATGACGCCGGACGATGACGACGACAACGACGACGACGACGACGCCAACGTCATACCAATATACGACCGCAAAATTTTTGCGGTCGTATAAAAAGTATTGGTGGAAAATTTGTAAATATAGATTCTGGCAATTTCCCTGAAAAATTGACGCATGTCACGGTTTGTAATGAAAAAATTAACAGTCCAATTAACGTTTAAAATGCGAACCTATTGGTATGGTTCAAATTGTGTGGAACGCCACAGCTGTCTTATGTGGAACTCTGATATTATACAATTATAGCCTTTGTATGAGGTCGATACAAGGATATATTGACCTGAAAGAAGTATATTGACTGAGGACGAAGTCCGAGGTCGATATACTTCTTTGGGTCGATATATCCTGTATTGACCTCATACATAGGCTATAATTGTTATATTATTAATTTCCGACCATATTTGTATCAAAATCGTCATTTGATTTTGTTGGAATTTTATAGATATCATATTGTCTCATAGACAATAACAACATATTATTTAGCTGTTATTTCATTTACTTTATATGTTGTTTTTTTTTACATCTTATGTATTTGAAGATTTTTTTTCTTCAAATAATCGATCATAGATATTTTTTTTATAAATCTTTTAACAGTATCATGAAATTCATTACATGACGTCACAAAGTATATCGGTTTTTAAATATTCTAAAAATAACCGTGCAATATGCTTTTTGCTATGCAATATGCTTTTTGCTATCCGCCGTTTTCTAAATACCATCGAAAATATAGTTTAACATGTGACTATCCCTGAACGAATCAAATTAGTTAAAATATACGTTATGTTGTTTTATTATTACTTGATGATATTTTGTCTTTACAAAATATGGTTTTGTCATTACGTAATGATGTTTTGATATAACTCAGTTAATATGGAATAGTCATTACTTAATGATATTTCAATATTTTACGATATGGTTTCGTATTGACTTGATATAGTTTTGTCATTATACAATTATAGCCTTTGTATGAGGTCGATACAAGGATATATTGACCTGAAAGAAGTATATTGACTGAGGACGAAGTCCGAGGTCGATATACTTCTTTGGGTCGATATATCCTGTATTGACCTCATCAATAGGCTATAATTGTTATATTATTAATTTCCGACCATATTTGTATCAAGATCCTGATTGATTTTTTGATTTTGTTGGAATTTTATAGATATCATATTGTCTCCTAGACAATAACAACATATAAATTGTTATTTCATTTACTTTTTTTTTTACATCTTATGTATATGAAGATTTTTTTTCTTCAAATAATCAATCATAGATATTTTTTTTATAAAACTTTTAACAATATCATGAAATTCATTACATGACGTCACAAAGTATATCGGTTTTTAGATATTCTATAAATATCCGTGCAATATGCTTTTTGCTGTGCAATATGCTTTTTGCTATCCGCCGTTTTCTCTCTACCTTCGAAAATATAGTTTAACATGTGACTATCTCTAAACGAATCAAATTAGTTAAAAAATACGAATTAATAATATTACTTAATATGGTTTTGTCATTACTCGATGTGGTTTCACCATTATTTAATGTGGTTGTGTCATTAGGCAATGTGGTTTTAACATTACTTGATGTGTATGTGACTTAAAGTAATGTAGTTGTTTCATTACATGATGTGGTTTTGTTATTTCGTAATGATGAGTTGCCAATTCTTTATATGGCTTTAACATTACGTAATGATATTTCAAAATTTGACGATTTTACACTACATGATGTGTTTGTTTCAGTATTTGATGTGATCCTGTCATTCTTTGGTGTGGTTATCACATTACTTGATGAGGTAAAAACCACGTGACCATTTCGGAAAAAAATATGCTCTATAAACCGATTTCCATATGTCATTTGTTTAATGTGCTTTGGATGAGTATCGCTATCCACTGTGTTAAAGTTCAAATTAAAGTTCGAGTTGTTGTTCAGAGTTATTTGGTATGAAAAAGGGGAACGCTAGACAAAATAAGAAAAAAGTACTAAAAAATTAACAGTATTTCGGACATAAGGGGGATATCCCCAAACCACTTGGTCCTGCCGTTTTTTTTTTCCTTAGTTCTCAAATGGAAGCAGTATTATGATAAATTCGTAAAAGATTCCACGGAACCCTGCGTCTCGCCTGATATTGCTGCTGTCAGTGTAAAAGCGTAATGTTGACTGTACATGATTTTTTGTTAGATCAATTCAAACGAGACACCTAACGATATAAATGATGAAGACGCCTACGCCACTACCGACGACGGAATATAGGTTTGTTGTGTCTCACTGCCGCTACATTAATGTCGCAGGCTCGACACAAATCAAAATACTTGTACTTTATTGTCAACAAATGAGACACTTTAAATCAACTCACACTAAAGTTACATGGAAAAGGGGCGATCGGACTAAGCGACAAAGCATCAATTCTAAAAAATAATAAGAATTCTCCGATTTTTTTTTAGCGTGTATGATCATTTGAACATATACGAGTATCAATCTTTTATTTTCATAAATTGCATTCTCTGATATACCTCGCACTAATTGAAAAAAAAAACTTTTTGGAATATCTGTTTCACAGGTCACAACGGATATGTTCCAGTTGTCGTAACCACAATCCCGTCATCTTTTCCTCGAATGTGAACTACCAAATAAAACAAAATCACTGGGTTTGTACTTTCACGAATAACACGACGGGTGCAACACGTTGAGCAGAATCTGCTTACCCTTCCGGAGCACCCGAGATCGTCCCCAATGAATTTATATTACCCAGTCATACCGATCTATTGAGTTAAGCCAATTGAAACTGTTTTTTACATTTTTTTTCTTATGTTGTGCTGTTACACTACAGTCCGAGGTTAGGTTAGGGTTTAGCGCTCACATACATGTTAAAGTCCGCCACGTACACTTTCTTTATGTGCCTGCCCCAAGTCAGGAGCCTGTAGTTCAATGGTTGTCGTTGTTTCATGTGTGTCATATTTGTTTTTCGTAGATTGTTTAGTTATAAATTAGACCGTTAGTTTTCTCATTTGAATTGTTTCACATTTTCACCTTGTGGCCTTTTGCAGCCGACAATATGGTATGTTTGAGGCTGTGCGGTTGCCTATGGTTGCTTACATCCACTGCATTAAATTTCTGGTGGATAGTTGTCTCATTGGCAATCACACCACATCTAACTTTATTTCGATTTCTATGTGGTGGTTTGTATACTGTAACATTGATTATCTTTTGTACGCATACCCCTTAACCCTTTTTTCGGAAGCCCGAGCAAAAACCCTTGATCCGCGTTAGAAAATTTACATACGAACTCATATTAGATAAATCGAATTTCAACTCGAAATCTTAATCTAAATGAGACTCAAATTCGAGTCTAACTCGAACTCTACCTCAAAAGGTGACTCGAATTCAAATTTGAACTCGAATTGTAACTCGAACTCTACCTTTAAATGTGACTCAAACTCAAAGTTCAACTCGAAACTCAATGCTAATTAGAACTTTAATTCCAATAATGGCTTGAATTCTAACTCGAAATCGAGACTATTTCAAAGTTTAACTCGAACAGTAACGCGAACTTTAATTTGCACTCTAACTCGATGGATGGCCACACTTATCTAAGGCACATAAAACATGGAAATCTATTTAAAAATAGAACGTCTAGTGTTTCCGAATTGGTCACGTGGTTTTACCTCATCAAGTAATGTGATAACCACATCAAAGAATGACAGGACCACATCAAATACTGAAACAAACACATCATGTAGTGTAAAATCGTCTAATTTTGAAACATAATTACGTAACGTTAAAGCCATATAAAGAATTGGCAAATCATCATTACGAAATAACAAAACCATATCATGTAATGAAACAACTACATTACGTTAAGTCACATACACATCAAGTAATGTTAAAACCACATTGCCTAATGACACAACCACATTAAATAATGGTGAAACCACATCGAGTAATGACAAAACCATATTAAGTAATGACAAAACTATATCAAGTCAATACGAAACCATATCGTGTAATATCGAAATATCATTAAGTAATGACTATTCCATATTGAGTTATATCAAAACATTATTACGTAATGTCAAAACCATATTATGTAAAGACAAAGTATCACCAAGTAATAATAAAACAATATAACGTAATATCAGAGTTCCACATAAGACAGCTGTGGCGTTCCATAAATATGGGATTTTAGAATGTGTGAAATCAAGCGAATAATTATCACTGAATAACCGTTTACGGTAGCTCTTTGGTTCCATTCTAAATTTTGATTTATGCTGACCTATATATCCGCACATAATTACCAAACTTTTGCCGAGGACAACCGCAGCTTATAGCAGTGCCACAGGATAAGCAAAACAGTGATGCACTATATATATATATATATATAGTTGGTGTTTTTTTTTTTTTAGTCATCACAGTTTGCTCTTTGGCATAATTAAACCTTACGTAACTCAGTATTGATCATAGACATATACTTCTTTACTTACGTTGTAAATAAATATAGATTTAAAGAATGCCGAACTTATCTATCAATATACTATGGAATGAAAAGGGGTAAAACTAACTTAGTATCTGGTTCGGTTTCCGTTTGGGATGAATTGTGCGACAAGACATAAAATACGCGTAGTTAAGCTTCATCAAAGTGAAGTTATTATTAAACATTGTATCTTTACTCCAAAAATACCTTCAAGATTGCCTGAGGTTTATAGAGAGAAATCTATACAGAAACACTTACACTACGAGCAGCTAATATAGCACATATTCCAGTTGGCCAGAAGCAGCATAGACATGTCAGGATTGCTGGAACTAACCAGTTGGTTGGTCTTGGCTGTGAGGTAGTCATTACCGAAGTTACAGGCACAGGCTGTGCAACCTGTAATAAAGTAAAGGTATGCATAAAGATTGCAAAAATGTATACGGTTTCTGTTATTGCTATACAATATTATACAATTACTGTCTTTTGATTAGGTAAATATATGGTTAAAGTATTGATGTATATTTTCATTCAATCATTTCTTGTTTTTGTTTAATAGATAAGCGATGACACGAATATATAAATTAAATAAGAATAGATTGAAATAATGCATGTTCGAATGGATTTTGACAGAAATACTCTGACAACCATAAAGAATAATTTAGGTAAGGGCCCTAATTGGCCCTGAATATTAGGCAATTTGTTTCAAGTTGATGAAAAGACCATGTAAGAACTACTTTTATCAAGCTTTGCTAAAAAATAAGTCATTTACATCCAAAATAGGTCAAAAATAGAGATTTTAGTGAAAATCAACAAAAGCGTCTAGATTGCAACCACACTGAGGCCTAGGAAACATAGGGCACTGGGATACACAAACTGTATAAATTAATTCAAGTCGGGCAGATTATTGGTTTAAAAATGTCGTTTTACTAGTATGTTTTTGATCCTAAAAAACCAAAGGTCCTTGACCAGACAGCGTTTTCATTGAAATTCGTTCAAAATCATAATTGATGCAACAAAAAAAAAAATAATTTCTCCAAAACTGAATTTTTTATCGAAAATAATATTCATTGAAACTGAACTCGTTACAACGTGAGTATGTCAAAGGCGTATCGTCATAAAACAGACAAAGGGGAAATTACAATTTACCTCAACATTACATATGCGCTGTTATGAGCAAAGCGCTCGATTTTGAACGAGCACCATTCTTTGTAGCTTTGAAGTAAAACACAGCTTAGCCGACCGACCAAAAGGAGACGTGAATGATGACCCAATCAAATATCAAGTCAAGCTCGAGGAGGAGAAAATGGCAAAGCGCGAAATAACTTTTACAATAGGTTCTATAAATTCTACCCATTTGGACTCATTGCATCCATAATTTTGAGTGGGTAGATTATGTTACAAGACCTAAGTAGACAGTCTATAAGGCTTGGATTGGACGGTCCTATACCAAAAGAAAAGGACGAAGAATGGAATAAAATGAATGTCGTCAATACCAGAACTTATAATTATACTAGTATATCGATACCTAGTTGCTTCAAGACATAGACATGAAGGTTATGTCAATTGCTTTAATTCATCTATTAGTATTTAAGTGATGGCTCCGGAATTGGACATGAATTATCATTGCAAGTTAACTAGATTACGAATGTAAATAGGTTTTGTTTTTAAGGGGGAAGTAATTGTGTTCTTGGGATGCTGCCTTATTGATGTATACATCGCATATCCGTTTATTCATAATCAATAAGTACCTTTCTTTAAGTTTTTTGGTTTATGTAAATATGGGTTCAAACTTACAATAACATTATGTCCTTGACCTCCATACACTGGTTGGTTTCCATAATGTTGTGTTTGTGGGTAGCCTTGTTGTGTATAGCTTTGGGGTACTTGTTGGTAGCCAGCTGGTTGACTGTATCCTTGGGGAGGTGGAGGTTGTGCATATCCAGGTGGTTGGCTATATCCCTGTGGATGCGGAGGCTGTGCATAACCTTGTGGTTGACCATACCCTTGTATATTGCTATCGTAAGGCGGTGGTTGGTTAGGTTTTTCTAAAATTCACACAACGCAATTTGTTTTTTTTTAAATTTATTTATCGAATTACCTTATCTAAATAACCTTTCATGAAATATTTATTAACTGCTAGAAAAAAGACATACAATTGTTTAATTGTCTTTTCCTTTTCAGAACTTTAATGATCATAATGTATACTTTAAACTGACAAAAACTATAAATTGTACTGCAAGTATTTTTTTAATTTATTGGATCGCTATTTCATTCTTTACAGTGAAGTACTGACCTGTATAACCAGCACTATAATATCCCTGAGTTTGAGCTGGATAGTCGCCTAATCCATTTTTGTCTGAGAGAAAAAAAAACATTAATTACTTAAAAACAGCAATTAAAAAAAAGATATATTTGTATGACTCAGAAATTTTTTTTTCTGCAATGAATGCAGGGTTCATTTCCTACATCATCAAATTCAAGGGACTTTAACAGACATTAAAGTAAGCTCCAAAACCTTCAAGTAAATACCCCCACATAACTTGACAGACCACAGTAGTAATAGTAAAAAGAGTTTTGTTGTCAATCAAAAGAAGGAGTCAATAAAATCTGCAGTAAGTATCCATGCAAGCCATTCAAGAGCAAACCAGTAGTCACATCATGCTTAGAAATATGGTAATTCTTTTTTAGACAAAGGACAAACCATGTTACCAGACTCAGATATAGCACCACCAATGACACGATAGTACAAGACATCTGACATACATAAAGTATAGACGAGAATAGTATGCGCTTTAATATGTGTGCCTGTCTACAAGAGACCTGTATATATATATATATATTATATATAGTAGTGAAGTTAATGAAGTCGTCCTGCTTATTCTTATATGCATGTGAGATTGATATGATAACCAAGTAAAACCCTTGCTATGATACTGTTCTGTTTTTCTAACAAAAAGTTAATATCTAACTTGAATTGCTTTGGAGACATTCACAGTGCTAATTTAAAGTATCGTCTGTATGATATTGAAAATCAGATTTGCTGTCAATAACTTCAATTCAACCAACAACAACAAAAACGAATGAGTAAATAAACATAGCCTAGGCCATCACAATTAGAAGGATTTCTTTTGTAACCTTTTTTTAATGATCATTTGCCACGGTGACCATTTGTTTCTTTTTTTACATAGAAAAGAGTCTTTGAAGTCAAAATTATGCCTCAATGCACTATTCTTAAAAGTGTGAAATTTCCTGAATTAACCGATTTGTTGGTAACAAATGTCCACCAAAAACTTAATTCTTTTTATTACAACAGCCATTGACAGTGGACATTTCCGTTGTTGACCAAATAATATATCTATTATTAAGAAAAATCTATGAATTGGTGTATGAGGATTAGTTATTGTGTATTACATTTGAAAATAAGAAGATGTAGTTTGATTGCCAATGAGACAACTCTCCGCAAGAGACCAAATGACACAGAAATTAACAACTATAGGTCAACGTATGGCCTTCAACAATGATTAAAACCCATACCGCATAGTCAGCTATAAAAGGCCCCGAAATGACAAATATAAAACAATTCAAACGAGAAAACTAACGGCCTGATTTATGTACAAAATAATGAACGAAAAACAAATATGATATACAGCAACAAACGACAACCACTGAATTACAGGCTCCTGACTTGGGACAGGCACATACAGGATGTGGCGGGGTTAAACTAGTTTGAAGGCGCGCCAACCCTCCCCATAACCTAGGCCAGTGGTGTAACAGTACAACATAAGAACAAACTATAAAAATCAGTTGAAAAGGGCTTAACTCGTCAGATCGATACAAAGCAGAGTGGGCGTGGCAGGGTACTTATACATCCCCACAACAAAAAGCCACTTAGTACACACATTGTCTATTAACTATTCCTTTATCTGAAGAATACGAACAAAGGACGTGAAAATAAAATGCAAATGAGATGACAGACTTGAAGTAATATTAAAAGCATATCCATCAAGGGAAAAGAAAATATCTCAAGTCGAAATGTTGAATTAAAATGAAAGTGCACATTAGAAGGAACTATTGACTGGTGGTGAAGGACTCTTAGGGTCTGAATGTGACATCGTCGATCTTATATATTTCATACTCTTTGATAATCTTAGTATTAAAATATTTGATTGATTCAGGAATATCATAATTATTCGAATTTTTTTATTTATTGATACGTGTGCACTAATTTATTTAGACTAATTATGCAACTGACAAAGAGTACACGAGAAATGACTGCATATATAAAAAATGCTGTAAATTTGGGTGGAAATCCGATTGGTACCTTCTACGATGTAAGGGTCGATCCAAATAACTGGAATTTTAACATATGTTGTTGGTTTCAATATTTTTTAATATCCACAAAAGAACTAAAGAGACGAGAAAGTGTATATATGTACATCTGTACAGACCATCGTGCGGTATTTACTCATAATGTGTATTTTAATATGTTAAAAAAGGCCCAACTCTATCATATAATTCCAAATTTTGAAAATGTAGTTATTATTGTTTATCTTACATTGTTTATATTAACCAACAATAAGCAGACATGAATTTGAATCAATATAATTTGAGCATGCACTTTATATATAATTCAATATGTTATATCAAGGATTTGTATAGTTAGAAACAGGAATACAGAAAGACAAATAATTACTGTTATTGTATACGAATTGTTAATGATGTTTGACGTGTAATCGATCTAATCAATAGATCATAGTTAACATTTCAGTTTTATATTAAAGTAATCAAATATTTCATCTCAGTTTTGCATCTTTATCATATGTATTGGAGCAAGGAATTGTATATTTAATATATACAATTCCTTGATTGGAGTACAAACATTTGAAGCCTTCTGATAATAAGACAACTATTGTACAAAATAAACGACAGCAATTCCATAAATATATTATAGTGACGGTTTCCCATTCCTCGAAGAAATTTCTGAGTAAACTATCATCATGAACAATATAGTATACTACACAAACAATATCGATTTGTATATGTTGTACATGTAGCATGCACGTGTGTAGTCTGATACATGCGTTTTCCATGGTATGGAACCTGGCTAAATGTATTAAAAAACTTTAATACATGTAAAGTCGTCATTTCCCCAACGCTATTGATAGATTAGTATCATGAGCATTTGTGTGTATTGAATAAAGATAAGTTTGGCATTTCAGTCATCAACGCATTATCAGATATCCAATAAAAGTTTGAAAGATCATAATAGAAACCTCTATCCAGTTTACCCAGATTTATTTACATTTAAACACATACATGATTTTGTACATTTATTGCAATAAAAACTAATTAACAGTTACAACCAACTTACCTTGATTTTTATCACTCATTACGTTCTCCTTTTTTGCTAGTAGTATAGTTTGTTGATTAATAAAAGCCAACGACCTTAATCTAGTGAGTGTATATATCAAGTATATATGTGCAAGCCGAGCATGTTATTTCGCAAGAGTTTGTTTTGATTAACATGATTAAGAAACAACATCAGCAGCAGCAGTTTGGAAATGTCTACCTAAAATTATTGAAAATTACGAAAGAGTATAAATAAATCATAAGCTAAACATAAATTTAATGGTAACGAAAAAGAAGGGATATAAACTGAAGTACTTGGAGATCACGATGACATGAACTTAATATCAACTATAGATTTCCAAGTCTAAATTAGCATGCGCCGCTATCAACATGATAATCAAGTCAGACGAAAACCATAGATTGCTTAATATCCAGTGGCAAATGACTTCATGCATGTTCAGGACGATAGATTCCTTTGAGGTTGAGACCATTTTATATGATGTCACCGTCCATTTGTATTCCTTGTTTTACATTGAAAAATTGGAAAATGAAAACTTGATATCATATCTTTTCATGAAAAACAAATATTATGATTTTCCGGCAGTGATGAACAATCTAACAGTGTCATTAATTATGACAAGGGAGGCAGAGTATGTTTTGAGGCGAATATTTGACATGAAACATCTGTGGTCCCTGGATGTTCGAGCAACATTCATGCAACTCAATCTGATATATTTTTTTGAACTCGCGTGCTGATATGAGGATAACCAAATCAGAGATCTATATTTTGATTAGATTGCTTTCAACTAAGATCAACTAAGTTTCACATTTTTCCCCGACTCACTTTCTTCTATATTGACTCTGACACTCATACCAGAGACATATAATACATGTATTATATGTCTCTGCTCATACGAAGCATCCACTATATCAAGGCGACACTGTTAAGTCCCGCGATGTTTATTCAATGTCCCTGCTGTAATTAGATATTTACACGTGGGGAGAAAGGAAAATCATGTGATAAGCCTGTTTGCAATGCTCATGATCTAAAAGGTAAAGTTGAGAAAAAAGTATATCAATATTTTAGGAAATAAACATTATTTAGCAAATTAGGTAGATAAAGGGTCGTAATCAAAAACGATTTTTTTTTTCAATTACTTGGCCAACACTAGGTTTATATTATGCTATTTATAAAATATGCCATCATGATATGAAAGTATGGGTCACAATATTTTTTAAACTAAAGATTGTGCAAACTAGATAAGTGTACGGCATAGAAAAATAGCTCTTTTGAGTGACTGAACAGAAAGAACATTAACGGATAAAATTTTAAAATAAAATATCAGAAGATAGCCCTTTAAGCATGTATAATATGCCTTCAGAAAAAATATGGGATCATTTCCTTGATCATTACAAAATAAGTATATGTATTGTTCTGTATCAAGATTTCTTTCACTACGATCAGGAACATATATATTGACGAAGATATCATACTAGCTGTTCCCGGCAGCTACGATAAATCGACTGAATCGGGAATATTCCATTTCTGCATCAACTTTGATAATTGTGTCATCAAAAAAAATATTTGCAGCCATTTGACATCAAAGATCAAATTAGATCTATGTTTTAAATCAACAAAAATATAGCGTAATATTGTTTAGTTTTTTCTTCTTTATTTGTCCTTGATTAGTTGTAATCTTTTTAAGTTGTACATTTTTTTTTCGTTTTATGGTTATTTCTTCCATGAACCAGTTCAATTACGGATACCAGTTGATTATTTACTTTCTGAATTAACTCCCTTGCATTCCGTGGTTGAGGTCGATAGGAAGTTTTTTGGGGGTTTGTTTATTTTAAGAAATATCTATTTAACAGAAACGGCATAACGGAATGTTCATGGTTTAAATCTTATTGATCGTGCTATTTATGTTTACTGACTAAAACACGTTAATCCCCAGTCAGAGCCCGAGGTTGAAAAATCAGAACGATCGTGCTTTTAAAGTTTAGTTTTACTGTTTACAATTACAAAGTGGGACCCTTCTTCCAAATGGGATTTAATTATCTGTTTTGGATATGACATCCATATTTGAACATAAATTGAAGTGGAAAAAGTTTTTTTTTATTAAGTTTAAGGTTCATCTAAACAGGAACATATATACTGTTCCCAGATCTAAAGGAATTGAAAAATATGGCCGTTTTTACACCACAAAATTTACTATGAGTACAGACAAACTTGTGCATCTAGGAAAGTTTTAAGGCATGGCAGGACCTAGATATATAAAAGTTATATGAAGTCTATGTTTCAGAAAATTACAAACTTATCTGGATTTTGATGTGCATTTTTTTACAGTCTGCAGAAGACGGCAAAATAAACAAACAGGTGAGTTTCATTTGATATGGTCTGTTTCATGTCGATCCGGCCCCACGTCGATCCGGCCCAAGTCGATCCGTCCCACGTCGATCCGGCCCAACGTCGATCCGGCCCATATTTAAAGTCGATCCGGCCCCAATAAAAAAATATATTTATAAGGAATAAAAATAAAGATATATATTAATTGTGATTCATAAATGATTATGAATTTTATTATAATGTAAAAGGTGTACGGTAAAAAAAATGTCCTTTGACAAATATTTTCTTTAGATGAATATAAAACAAGTAGGTTGATTATGTTTTCATTACAAGTTTTCATAGATTATTGGGTATAAATATAATAAAAACGTATATAACAGAATTTAGTACAATCAACAGACATCAACATTAATCAGCAGTAATTAGCATTTTCTTTCAATTGACTGTGATCTTAACAAGTCTTTCATCCTGTGTAATAACAAAATTAATAGTTACATACACCAAGGATTTGTATCACTATACAAATCCTTGCATACACAACGGTACAAGCCGATCCCCAAGCTGATACATACAAACTTTGTTTTAAGTTCTTAAAACTTCTCAAATTGAGAAATGTAGCTATTCTGTGTGTGAATTAAATAAAATAAAAATCGCCATGACATTCAAAGTTATCATGGAAAATAACTTCATATTAATATGTTGAAGCTGCTATACAAACAGACACAATCACACTCAGTTTCGTATCGATTTAAAATAATTCTTAGACTGGTACACCAATACTTCACTTACCTGTTATCATCCATCATCGATACTTTTTGCAAAATCCATTTATACTGTTAAAAATCCTCCAAAGTCAATATAGTTTTTTCATATTTTATTATGGGGCCGGATCGACTTTGGGCCGGGTCGACGTGGGCCGGATCGACTTGGGACGGATCGACTTGGGGCTGGATCGGTTTGGGGACGGAACGACCGGATACCATATGGTCCACTCAGTTACACAGTTTAAATCACCTATTATTGGCAGATGTCTATTGTCCATCTATTGTCCCTTTAAATCAATACAACTGGCAACATGTATTATATGAGGAGAGCTTCTCAAACTTCTTCCCCAACTTTGTATATTTTGGCACCTTCTGCAGGAATGAAAAAAAAAAAGAATAGCAAAATCTAGTTAAGTTTTTAATATTCTGAAACTTAAAATGCATTTAAATTTTATTTATCTAGGTCCAGCCATGCTCTAAAACTTTTCCAGATGCACAGGTTTGCCTTTACTCAGAGTGAAATTTGTAGTGTAAATACGGCCATATTCAGTGGCGGATCCAGAAATTTTCATAAGTGGGGGCCCACTGACTGCCTAAGAGGGGCTCACTCCAGTCATGCTTCCGTGATTCCCTATATAATCAACCAAATTTTTCCCACAAAAGAGGGGGCCTGTGCCCCCCTAAATCCGCCTCTGATATTTGTGAAAAGGTTATGATGAACCTTAAAACATGACCTACCATCATTTGACCATTTCTCAAAAAATGAAAAAGTCAGGCATTGCTGCACTGGAAGCAAGACGACTTGCCCCACTGGGAAATTGCCTCACTGTCAAATTACCCCAGAACAACTCGCCACACTTTCCACAAAATCGCCCCACTTTCTCCAACTTGCCTACTATTGAAAAGTATTATAAGCAAATTCCTGCTGAATTCAGGCCTGCTTACTCTCCCCACTAAGGAAAAGAAGTCATATCCCGATAAGTTTAGGCCTGTTGACTCTCCAAACTTAGGAAAAAGATTTAAATTCCAATGAATACAGGCCTACAAACTCACACCACTGATGAAAAGGAGTTTAACCTGATTAAACAATGTTAAATGATGCTTCATTCTTTATCATTGTTTATTTCATCGGGTTCAAACTACTTTTCAATAGTGAGGTAAGTTGGTCAGCCTAAAATTAGTGGGATTTAACTCTTTTCATGAGCATGATGAGTGGGGCGACTTTGTAGGCCTAAAATTCAGCCAAATTTTAATTTTTTTTTCATCATGTTCATAAGTGGGGTGAGTTGGCAAGTCTTTATTCATCATGGGGATATTACTACTTTTCATTAGTGGTACGAGTTGGTAGGCCTAAAATCATCGGGATTAAACTACATTTCATAAATGGGGCGATTTGGTAGGCCATAATTCAGTGGGATTTAACTGTTTTTCATGGGTGGGCGAGTTTGCAGGCCCAATTCAGGGTGATAGAAACCTGTTCCTAAGTGGGGCCAGTTTGTTAACATGAGTGGGGCAAGTTGGAAGAAAGTTGGGGGAGTAACAGTTAGTCTGGGGCGATTTGGCATTTGGGCAAGTTGTCAAAGATTCTTCTGCACTATACATTTATCTTGTGTTGTTACCTTACATGTATTTGTTCACTCTTCTTAATGCAACAGTAGTCTGCTTTGTTTCATGCTTAATTGTATTTAAGGTAACACTTATACATGTAGTTCAGTCTGTATAGGTTTAATATTTCTGTGTATCAAAAATGTACTTTTAAAACTGAAAGATATTTTCATGAGGTTGGGGGGGGGGGGGGTGCATAATGTTTATTCTAATTCTCTAATTCTTAGTCGATTTATCTTTTCCCGACCTGTTTTAAATAATTTTTATTTAATCAACATGTGGTTAGTTTGATCTCAGTTGTTCATTGGTCAAAATTCAATTGTGACGTCAAATTTTGTTGCTTTCCGCTGAATTCCTCTTGTGACGTCACAAAAAAAGGTGACCATGTCTGATGATGTTACATAGAAAGAACACATCTCTTTGCAGATCATTGAGATAGCAGGATGAAGTTTGTCTGCATATCCACAGGCACTTGTCACTGAACAAAAATTCCTATATACATAATCATGTTAATGTGTTATATTAAGGTATATATGTAGGAAATTTTTTTTCAGAGACAAGTGCCTGTATGCATATCGTCTAAAAATCATTAGAGAAACAGATTCTACCATCAAACTCGTGCAATTAGTTATTTCTCCACTCTCGAAGTTATATTTTAAATATTTAAAATGCTCAGTTGACCATTGTCTACATGGTCTATGAGCCTCGTGTTTTAGATTTGAAAAATGAACTGTCTCAAGTCGAGATATATCGTATATCACACTCGATGCAGTAGTAGAATCTATACATTGTGTAAATAAGTGGATTTATATGGAGAACATGTAATATTTTTTTCGAATTGAAGTGGGTCAACAAAAAAGTCAAAGTTTGTAGTTTTTTAAAGTGGGGCATTACCAGATAATATTCTGCAAGTGGGAGTGATGTGTGGGAAAAAATGGTTTAAATGGTATATACATGTATTCCTCATATTACATAGTTGGTGTAAGTTTGTAGGTCTTGCTCAGCAGGATTAACTGTCTTTTTATGAATCGGGTACGGTGCAAGTCATTCCAAGTTGTTATCAAAATTGATGTGAGTTGTGGAAAGTGTGGAGGAGTTGTTATACTTCCTTATGAGATTAATCCCTAAAAAAAAGGTTTTCTGAGGGATCTAGCAACTTTTTTGAATATTTAAAAATTAACACAGCAAAAGTAGTACAGGTATTCAATCATGTACTTGTACGTGAATATCTTTGATTATCCCAATTTTTGGCTTTGACATTTTATGATGAACATGATGAAGATGCATTTAGATTTAAAATTATGCACATTAATAAGTAAAACCAGTACTTTAACCTTTTGATTGAGCTCAGAGTCCTTCATTTCCTTTGTAAGTACATGTACTTGTCAACTTGGAATTTTAGAATTAGGATTTTTTAAGATTTTGTTTGCTGAGTCACTGTCACCACTGGATATAGGTATCCCCGAAGTTGTATTCCTCTTATTTTCCTTACATGTATATTCTATGTTTTGCTGACAAGTAAGATTTGTGATACTGATCCCTTATAATGTAGCTACTATTTTGGTCTGATTATGTTCCTTAATTTGCTTTCTCAGACTCTATCTTCAAATCGTCAGAATCAGACAGGTACACCATTTGGTAACTGTTCAAAAAAGCATGTGATGAGTTCAAACTTGTTAAAACACATTTATCCATCAACTTTTCATTTGACGTTTTCATAGAACAAAACTATATCATATTTAAGCTTGAACAACACTGGTTTTTATACGACCGCAAAAAATTTTGCGGTCGTATATTGGTATGACGTTGGCGTCGTCGTCGTCCGAAGACACATTGGTTTTCGCACTCTAACTTTAGTTTAAGTGAATGGATCTCTATGAAATTTTACCATAAGGTTCAATACCACAAAAGGAAGGTGGGGATTGATTTTGGGGGTTATGGTACCAACAGTTAAGGAATTAGGGGCCAAAAATAAGCATTTTTGTAACTTCCAGACATAACTTGTGTGTTAGTGCATGGATCTCTCTGACATTGTACCACAAGGTTCCATACCACAAAGGGAAAGCTGGGATTGATTTTGGGGGTAATTGCCTCCAAATTTTAGGAATTATGGGCCAAAAAGGGGCAGAAAACAAGCGTTTTTCTAGTTTCATGACAATAACTTGTGTGTAAGTGTATGGATTTTTATGAAATTGTACTACAAGGTTCCATATCTCAAAGGGAAAGCTGGAATTGAGTTTGGGGGTTATTGCCCAAAACGTTTGGGAATTAGGGGCCAAAAAGGGCAAAAAAACAAGCATTTTTCTAGTTTCCAGACAATAACTTGTGTTCAAGTGTATTGATCTCTCTGAAATTGTACTGCAAGGTACCATACCACAAAGGGAAGGCTGGGATTGAGTTTGGGGGTGATGAATCATAAGGGGGTTCAAAAAATTGGGGGGGGGGGGGGGATTTTTTTTTCCTTTTTTTTCTTTTAAATTTTCCATTTTAAATTGGTTATTTCTGATTTATATATAAAAGCAAATAATAATGATATGGTTTGAATAGGTAAATTAAAATTTTTTAAGTTCTTAGACCACATTCATTCTGTGTCAGAAACCTATGCTGTGTCAAATATTTAATTACAATCCAAATTCAGTGCTGTATCAAGCTTGAATGTTGTGTCCATACTTGCGCAAACTGTTCAGGGTTCGACCTCTGCGGTCGTATCAAGCTGCGCCCCAGCGGAGCATTTTATATTTTCAGAGAAATTCATGTAAATAAAGCACATGAATTGAACAGCATATAGTCTATTTACTGTACAGGGAATAGAATAGATACTTTTTGCTATCATTGTTTTTTTGCTTCAGCATGTTCAGGGTTACCTATACACGGTGGTGATGCCACTGTACACAATGTGAATATTACTTAAATTTTAGATAAATGTAAATATGAATTTCATTTAAGGCATCAATACATTTCCAAATGAAGACATTAGAAGAAGAAGAAATGGAAATATTACAGCAAGTTGAATGTAACATTTCTGAAGCTGTAGCAGAATATACAGAAATAATATCCAGTCCTCGGAAGGATGTACCTATTGTCACTGAAAGGACAGTCTTAGATTTACCACAAGAGGAAGAAACAGATAAAAGGATTGAGAAGGAAACTGCCAAAGATATTTCTGAGGGTACCTCTGTGAACAACAACATTCAGACATATGCTGAATCTGAAACACAATTGTCTGATAATCTTGCTAAGTCCATAGCTGTGGAAGAAAATGCTCATACAAATCATCAATCTGCCATTTCCGAAAAATCACAAAATGTTGTTACACTGCCTGTTCAAAACTGTAATAGTTCAAATCAGCTGTGTTCAGTCGACTTTTCTCCGACCAGTATCAGTTACGAAACCCAGTTATCTTACAGTTCTCTAGACACCGACAATGATGATGCTTTATCTCATGTTTCAGGTCCCATAAATTCTAATCATATAGGTAACAATTATTCTAGACAGATTTCCACTTTGTCCTCATCAAAAACATTACATTGTTTGCCTCCCTGCAGAATATGTGAAGAGAAAGCTTCAGGTTTCCATTATGGTGTGAATACATGTGAAGCCTGCAAGGTATATATTGTATATTACTGTGGATTCATTATTATTCGTTGGATATCAATTTTCGTGGGTTTCGTGGGAACAGATGAACCATGAATTCAAATGCTCAACTAATTACAAATTTTCTATATCATGTATATGCTTTGTATTGCAGAGATTGGCAAAACCACGAAATCAAATATCCACGAAAATGCAAGTTTTCCTCAATCCACGAAAATTGATACCCATGAAAATAAATGAATCCACAGTATAAGCATTTAATAACAAGTTATATTACATAAAATATGGAAGCCCTGAATTGGATAACTCTTCTTGGTACAAAGATGGATATTAATGTATAATATATACACTGTTCATTCTGTAACACATGATACATGTACATGTAAAAAAAATTGCCAAAAAAAAGGATTTATTTTTATACGACCGCAAAAAAATTTTTGTGGTCGTATATTGGTATGACGTTGGCGTCGTCGTCCGAAGACACATTAGTTTTCGCACTCTAACTTTAGTTTAAGTGAATGGATCTCTATGAAATTTTACCATAAGGTTCAATACCACAAAAGGAAGGTGGGGATTGATTTTGGGGGTTATGGTACTAACAGTTAAGGAATTAGGGGCCAAAAATAAGCATTTTTGTAACTTCCAGACATAACTTGTGTGTAAGTATATGGATCTCTCTGACATTGTATCACAAGGTTCCATATCACAAAGGGAATACTGGGATTGATTTTTGGGGGTAATTTCCTCCAAATTTTGGGAATTAGGGGCAAAAAAGGGGCAAAAAACAAGCATTTTTCTAGTGTCATGACAATAACTTGTTTGTATTAAAGTGTATGGATCTTTATGAAATTGTACTACAAGGTTCCATATCACAAAGGGAAAGCTGGAATTGAGTTTGGGGGTAATTTCCCAAAAAGTTTAGGGATAAGGGGCCTAAAAGGGGCAAAAAATAAGCATTTTTCTAGTTTCCAGACAATAACTTGTGTTCAAGTGTATGGATCTCTCTAAAATTGTACTGCAAGATACCATACCACAAAGGGAAGGCTGGGACTAATTTTGGGGGTAATTCCCTCAAAATTTTAGTAATTAGGGGCTATAAAAGGGCAAAAAAACAAGCATTTTTCTAGTTTCAGGACAATAACTTGTGTGTAAGTGTATGGATCTTTATGAAATTGTACTGCAAGGTTCCATATCACAAAGGGAAAGCTGGGTTAGATTTTGGGGGTAATTGCCCTAAATGTTTAGGAATTAGGGGCCAAAAAACAAGCATTTTTCTAGTTTCCAGACAATAACTTGTGTTCAAGTGAATGGATCTCTCTAAAATTGTACTGCAAGGTACCATACCACAAAGGGAAAGCTAGGATTGAGTGTTGGGGTGATGAATCATAAGGGGGTTCAAAAAATTTTGGGAGGGGATTTTTTTTTACTTTTTTTTCTTTAAAATTTTCCATTTTAAATTGGTTATTTCTGATTTATACATTGTATATAAAAGCAAATAATAATGATATGGTTTGAATACTATTATAGGTAAATTAAAAAATTATAAGTTCTTAGACCACTTTCATTCTGTGTCAGAAACCTATGCTGTGTCAAATATTTAATTACAATCCAAATTCAGTGCTGTATCAAGCTTGAATGTTGTGTCCATACTTGCCCCAACTGTTCAGGGTTTGACCTCTGCGGTCGTATCAAGCTGCGCCCCAGCGGAGCATTTTATTTTACTATGCTTTCAGTAGAAAAACAAAGTGAGGACTTTAGTTGCTTGTTTGTTAAACAATTCAGATAACAAAAGAAAATTTACTCTAAAAAAAGTTCCTTAGTTTCCATTATGTGATAACATTAAATATACAGACCTGTATTACCTGTGGCAGAGGATGAAGTTGGTATACATGTACATGTAAAGAGCTATTTGAAATAGTGTTACTTTATTATTTTAAATCTACCAGTACATGTAATTGATAAAACAATTTGGAGAGTTATAGTTATTTCAGCTACAGTTTTAATTTATAATTCAAATATGAAATTATGCATGTGTACAATACAAAATTGAATAAAACAGGACAGTATTTCCAATGCTTTTATCATGTTTATCATGTTTATGTCTATGATTATATTTTAACCAAACCATCTTATTGCAAATGTATGTACATTGTAAACATGGTAAATGGAATGTTGTTTTGTTTTCACACCATTAACTACAAAATGCAACTGAAATATCAATATAAATATTTTGAACTCAGAAAATTTGTTTTTGAATGCTTATGTTTAGACACATGTTAGAGTTTCCCTACATTATGTACATCATTTGCCTTATATTTTATGCCTGAAAATGCCTACCCTAAAGTTTGTATTGTCACTTGCCTAATGAATTGTGGCATAATAGTAGGTAATTCTAATAAACTCATGTACATGTATACAAAGGGAAAACAATCATACCTGCCCTATTGAGCTTGTTTAGCAAAAAGAAGAATGGCTAAATACACATATTTTTTTGTTTGACCTCATTACTTTTTTTCTTGCAGGGTTTTTTCCGTAGAAGCATTAAAAGGGTAACCCAATATAAATGTGTAGAGTCAAATAACAGTTGTGTGATAGAACAAGGGAAAAGAAATATATGTCCTAAATGTAGATTTGACAAGTGTGTAAAGGTTGGCATGTCCAAAAGTGGTGAGTTTTATATAAATTAAATAGTAATTTGTTTAAGCAATGTCTCCACTTTTCAGCTAGAAATTGATTTGAAGATACATAATGATATATGTACATGTAAAAGTCAAATCTACAAAAAATTAATGTATGAACAATCTTAACCCTTTCAAAGCTTTACACGGCATATGCCACGATGACGTACGCTGCCCGCCACTGTTGTTCACGGCATATGTCGCGATTTTGATGGATTTTTCTTTCAGACTTGTAACCATTCGGTTTTCATTCAGGTCCTCTATAATTTTTCCTCGTATGAATCGAGGATATACAAGGTCCCATTTGCGCTTGAAATCGTGGGAATTTTAATGGTAAAAGTATGCAGTAGAAGAAAAATTAAAAAAAATATTTTGACAAATGCAAATGGCTGAAATCGAAAAAGACGCTGTAAATATGAAAATATTGCAGCATTTCTATGGCGAAACTGACAACGAGGAATAGTCAAAAGGTTTCCCGTTATCTCAATGTGTTAATTACATTCAATTCGTGTGGGAAATATGATTTGGTTGATCTTTACGAGACGTAGAAAAAGGGGGGAAACGGAGGTTGACTGAAAATTTTGAGGACAGAGCCACTTATTTGCGCCATGTTTACATTATACGTTGTGTATGGTAAAAATACGCTACGGAATCGAGCAACTGGTGTCTTCTTTATTATATATGGCAGATAAAACAACAAAATAAATGAAGATTAAAAGTTGTTTTTATTCAAAATTCAACACAAATACAATAATTTACACCTTTTACCTGTTAATTACCTGAAAATGCAGGTAGCTTGATGAAAATTTTACTAAAATAATTGCATAACATTACAGTTCATGCTCTCCTGAGCATTTTTCATGCACTAACTTTGTCTGTATCTCTAATAATAGAAAAGATACAGCAGTCTGAAAAAGGAATATACTGTTCTAATGAATGAACCCAAAAAAAATGCAGCAGCAGCCATTTTTCTATTTTTTTGTGTAGCGTTGAAAGGGTTAAATCCTTTCCTCAGATCTGTGTCCTTTCTGGTATTCATGATATTGTGTTATAGACATCTCAAATCAATTTCCTTTCTATTCTGAAAGACACATTGGTTTTCGCACTATAACTTTAGTTTAAGTGAATGGATCTCTATGAAATTTTACCATATGGTTAAATACCACAAAAGGAAGGTTGGGATTGATTTTGGGGGTTATGGTACCAACAGTTAAGGAATTAGGGGCCAAAAAGGGGCAAAAAATAAGCATTTTCTAGTTTCCAGACAATAACTTGTGGAACGGTGTATGGATCTCTCTGAAATTAGACCACAAGTTTCCATACCACAAAGGGATGGTTAGGAATTGCTTTGGGGGGTTATGGCTCAAACCGTTTAGGAATTAGGGGCAAAAAAGGGGGAAAAACAAGGTAGTCCTGGTTAATGGACAAATACTTTAGTACAAAACATAATTTAAAGCAGTGTAAGGGAGATAAATCAAATACATCATTTGAATTACCTCCCTTACACTGCTTTTAAATTATGTATAAAGTAATGGTTAATGAACAATTAAGACAATTTTAAAGCAGTGCAAGGAAGGTAATCCAAATACAACGTTTTGATTACTTCCCATACACTGCTTTTAAATTATGTTTAAAGAAATGCATATTTATAAAGGAAGACCAGTAAAAATATCTGCAAATGTTGCATCTTTTTTTTTTTACAAAAAATTCCATATGAAAGATTTGACACCATATTTTAAATTCTATTATAAAATAGATTAAGTTAGCACTATGGTAAATTTAAATGGGTAATTATGGTTGCAAACTCCATTGGAAATTTGAATTGAGATTATGACCATATCTTGAGGGAAAGAATTTTTTTGGGGGAAAGGGGGGTGGGGGGGAGGGGGGTAAAATGAAATTGTGGGGGTCAATTTTTTCTCATTTCAGATTTCAGAAATTAAAAAAAATTATTCTTCAAATATTTTTTTTTTTTCAAATTTCAAATATTGAAAAATTTCAAGAAGTAATCTTTAATTGCACAGTATGGCGCATTAGATGTGTAAAATCTTTGACCACATTTATTTCTTTGTTATGCCGAATCTAACCGTGTATTTAGATTTTTAACTTTGGGTCCAGTTTTCAAATTGGTCTACGTATACATTAAGGTCCGAAGGGTCTAATATTAAACTTAGTTTGATTTTAACAAAAATTGAATATATGGGGTTCTTTGATATGCTGAATCTAAACATGTATTTAGATTTTTGATTTTGGGCCCAGTTTTCAAGTTGGTCCAAATTGGGGTCCAAAATTAAACTTTGTTTGATTTCAACAAAAATTGAATATATGGGGTTCTTTGATATACTGAATCTAACCATGTATTTAGATTTTTTATTTGTGGGCCCCCCTATCAAATTGGTTCATATTGAGGTCAAAAGGGTCCAAAATTAAACTTTGTTTGATTTCATCAAAAATTGAATTATTGGGGTTCTTTGATATGCCAAATCTTACCGTGTATTTAGATTTTTAATTTTGGGTCCTGTTTTTTAAATTGGTCTACATTAAGGTCCAAAGGGTCCAAAATTAAACTTAGTTTGATTTTAACAAAAATTGAATTCTTGGGGTTCTTTGATATGCTGAATCTAAATATGTGTTTAGATTTTTGATTATGGGCCCAGTTTTCAAGTTGGTCCAAGTTGGGGTCAAAAATTAAACTTTGTTTCAGATTTCAACAAAAATTGAATATATGGGGTTCTTTGATATGCTGAATCTAACCATGTATTTTGAATTTTGGGCCCCGATATCAAATTGGTCCACATTGAGGTCAAAAGGGTCCAAAATTAAACTTTGTTTGATTTAATCAAAAATTGAATTCTTTGGATTCTTTGATATGCTGAATCTTACCATGTATTTAGATTTTGGATATTGAACCATAATTTAAAAAAATTTAAGTTCTTAGACCACATTCATTCTGTGTCAGAAACCTATGCTGTGTCAAATATTTAATCACAATCCAAATTCAGAGCTGTATCAAGCTTGAATGTTGTGTCCATTCTTGCCCCAACTGTTCAGGGTTCGACCTCTGCGGTCGTATCAAGCTGCGCCCAGCGGAGCATTTTATTGTGCTTTGTGCCGATCAGTGTACAGTCTGTTCTTATGTTGAGTTATAACAGCACAGTACCTTAGCTTGTTAGGGGAGGCTTGACCACTCCCAAACATCTTTAACACAGTCACATTGATTATGTGCCTGCCCCCAGTCACATCACATTACTGAAAGTCTATCTACTTAAATAAACAGAATAGACAGAGAGCCAAATATTTGAGTGTCATGAAGTCACAGGACACAGATTTGAGTGTCATGACGTACCAAGACGCAGATCTTATGAAAAGTCACAACAAAGGGCCACAGTTTTAAGTGTCATGACATCATTGGACTCAGATTTGAGTCTGAACATAGATTTGACTCTAACATACAATGACATATATGATAAGAAAAAGGAAAGAATTATTGACAAACCCTGATACTGTACTATTGTTTGCATTCATTTAATTAGAAGTTTCTTAAAATATGTGATAAATAATTTCAGATGTTCAGTTTTAATAGGGTAAAGATTTCATTCAAACTCTAAATTCCCTTATGTGGCTAGCTTGATAGTTATCAATTTTTCAGACTTCATCACAACTTTTGAGATAAAAAGAACGGTCCATTGAGCACAACATTCTATACATCTTGTACATCCTATCAATGATCATTACATTTCAGGAATATTTATCATTGAAATATATACTCAGATCTTCAAGTTACAAAATGATGTTTATGTGTACATGTATAACGTTAACCATACTTGTCAAGAAAATTACATAAATTGTTCATGGTTCATGGTTCATGAATCTAGTATCTGTTCTAAATGTATCAATGATATCATTGTAAAACATTAATATTCAAAATTGGAGTTATCTTCCTCTATAAAAATAAAAAGATGTGGTATGATTGCCAATGAGACAACTCTCTGCCTGAGACCAAATGAAGAAGAAGTTAGCAACTATACATTTTATAGGTCACTGTACAGCCTTCAACAATGAACAAAACACATACCACATAGCGAGCTATAATTCATTGTAGATAAACCAAGTCATAGTATTGCCTCCCACTGCTTAATAAATTGCAATATTTAATTTCTGATTTCAACTGGAAAAAAAAATGTAATCTTTACCCTTAAGTGCTCACAAACTTTCTTTTAGCAATTAAAACTGGTCGTTACACCCATGAAAAAAGATCTCAGGATATCAGAGAAGTAAAGAAACTTGAGACAGGAACCCATGACTTTGTTCCTGCTGTAATTTCAAGTCAAAATATGGAAGAGTCAAAAGATTTGGTAATGATGCTTGTCCAGGCTCAGAAGGATATGTATGGACCTCAATTTGAATATTGGACTAACGATGAGACCATTTATAAACTAGCTCAAGATTATCTCGTAAGATATAAGAAAAGTCTGATTTTAATATCTACCATGTCTACTGTTCATATCTTTTTAACAATCTATGTGGACTTTTTTGATGATTTTTGTGAACAATCAATGGAAAAAGAAACCACAAAAATATTTGCCACAGCATACAACATGTACAATATGTAATTTATAAATTTTGCAAAATCCACTAAATTTTTTCTCAAAGAAATCACTTCTGAAAAATGTAATTGAATTTTTTTAAAAACACAAACTACAGGGCTAGAACAATTGGTACTGCTACCTATAGAGAGGAAGGTTGTTTAGGTGTAGTTAAAATTCTGAACATGAGGATTTGTTTTTTATTTGGAAAGGGTTTTACTTTTCTTATATATATCGATATCTGTAATACAAGCACTTTTTTTTAGTCTAAACTCAATAGTTTGAATAACATTAAGAAGCAATTATGCAAGGTATGACAATGTAATTATAATGTGTGTAGGTCAGAACAGAATCACTTTAATGGAAACTTTTGGTAGATGTATAACTTAAAAATTCAAGATTAAGCATTTTCAGGAAAAGATTTAAGTGTGGAAGAATGCAGAGAGGCTACTTAAGGTTCAATAGGAAATATTAAATACATATTTTGGATGATATTATGTTAATGAAATAAGAATATAGACAGCTTTGTACTAAACCAATACAATAAGTTCGATTTTGGATAAGCTAGTTTACAAGGTAAAAGTTTGCAGGAAGACTCTCCCTGGACACACTATTTTGATTCTGAAACAAATAGTCTTAGTTCTAGCTGCTAAATGTCACATACTTGATGGAGAAGCAGCAAATAACAATTTTAAAGTATTTGATCCATCCATAAATTAAACCCACATTTTCCTGCATTTGAGGCAAGCACGCTACAAAAAGACCATATAGCATTCATTGTAAAAAAAATCTTTAATTAATGCCACCATTTTACTCTGAATTTACAGTCTTTAATTTGTAGTTCTATCATGTTTTACTTTAAGCCATTTATGTTTCTTTGAACTGATGGTATTTATGTATTTCAGAGGCAGCATAAAGCCAAAACAGACATATTTGGAGACCTGAACAAGCTCCCTGAAGATGAATTTAAGAACTTCTACAATACAACTGGCATTGATATAGATAACAGAATAGAACTGATGAGTGAAATAGCTACAACATTAGAAAATGGAGTCTCTAAATACATTAACTTTGTTAAAAACATTCCAGGATTCATTGGCTTATGTTTGGAAGATCAAGCAGCCTTGATTAAAGGTAAAATCAGTGTTGATGTTTGTATGAGAGCTCTCTGTAAAACAGTCGCAGAGGAATTGTGTTTACAGTGGGTCAGTATGGGAGAATATTCCCACCCCAAAAAGTCAAGACTCCCATAATTTGCTGCCTTAAAAAGGGATATCATGACGTTTTCTTCAATTTTAGAATGCAGGATACCATGCATGTTATATTTTTGTGGCTGGATAAGAACATTTGGCTTTTTACTTTCAGTGACTTTCAGTGACTGCACACTTTTTAAAACAGATTAGTTTTGTTGTCTTTTAGATGGAAATCATTTATTTGTGTTGTCCTCAATAGGGGTTTCATGGAGTTGTGGTGTCTTTTATACAAATAAAATTCAGTTTTGTTGTCTTTATATGGGAGATAATTCAGTTGTTGTGTCTTTATATGGGTGATATTTCAGTTGTGGTGTCTTTATATATGTATCACTAAATAGTGGTGACTGTTTTATATGGATATTATGAAGTTGGGGTGTCTTTTTATATGGATATTATGAAGTTGTGCTGTCTTTTATACGGATATTATGAAGTTGTGCTGTCTTTTATATGGATATTATGATGTTGGGGTGATGTTATAGGAATATAATGTTCTATAACTTTATGTTTCTGTTTTGTCATTTAGCAAATTTGATATGGGCGGCAGATTTTGAACAGTCACTGTTCAATATGTCACAAACTTTCCTCGACCTAGAGTAATTTAGAACTTTAAAGATTGTGTTAAGAAACTTATGTATTCTTTATGAACTATATGTTGACCAGTAGGTGTCTTTTGTTTTTTTGTAATTGTATGTTAATTTGTGTCGTTTGGATGCTGTCTTATTGACATACAACTTAAATATATGTATTAAGATAAAGAACTTCAGATCATAGTTAAAGGAAACATCTAGAATTGTACAACCACATGCAGAAATTATAGACCAACATTTTTAGAATGATGAAGGCATATATAACGATTTAAAAAAAGCCCAGTTTGCAATATAAAACATTGCCTATCATTTTCATGCATATTTTCGAAGAATAAGAAGAAAAAAGTGTCGAATTGGAGATAGTGCATTTGTTTTACAGTAAAATTTCAATGATTTTATTTTAAAGGTCTCATAGCAAGAAATGTATTTCAGGTTGGAATGCTTTTCAATTTGCAAGATTAATAAAGCATGTTGCTTTTTTATTTAGTTTTTTTTTTTTTTTCTTCTTTAATGCACCTCATAGTATATTTGATATACTTTTAATTATGGTGGAATAAATAAAATAACACCTTCCAAAAGTGACAAACATTTATTTCAGGAACATGCAGCTCCAACTATTTTAGATAGTGTTTGTATTTATGTGGAATTCCACTTTCAAATGAAGTCATTTTTGTTGTTTATGACTCTAAATTGTATCATATATATAATGTTTTTCAGTATCCAGATTTGAGTTTTGGTTTATTGGTTACCAACGGTTCGTTTGTCATAACTTAGAAGTGACCACTGGAGGGATGAAACAGTGTCATCATAAGACAGAATTAGCTAAGGTTGTTGGCAGTGAATTTGTAGAAGAACTTTTTGAACACAGTAGGAAAATTCAAAGTTTAAAGTTGACTTGTGATGATATTGCTGTATTGAGGTCATTCCTTGTGGTCTCCCCTGGTAGGTCAACAAGTTATATACAGGTCTTGAAAATAAAATTTTTCATTTTGGAATTTAATTGAGAAAAAGTCTTCAAAAAGTTATGATGATTAGGATATATAAATTAATTATTTGTGTCCAGACACTACCATGAAAAGAAGAAAATATGCTTCCTTTAAGTGACTGGTATTTGTTGAAATTGGAAATAATAAACACTAGTCAATTTAAATCCATATTATTGAATTTCATACAACATGTACAACTCGTAACTTTTGATAAACAAAAAATGGACAACTGAAAAAAATCTTGGTTATTACAACAATATACAGCTGATTTTGAAAGTTGTAGCTGTGATTTCAATTAGGAACAATATCCTCCTCGGCATCTTCATGATGGCTTAGAATATAGGTGATAGTAAGAAGTAACTCTTATATTTATGTTTAAAGAAATATATGGTGAAATACTTGATCATTGAAAATCAATAAAATATCTGGGAAATAATGATTTTGTTTGAACTTGATTACCACCAGAAAATTGATGTCAGGTCTGTTGTACAGAAAAGTTGCCTGTTGATATTGTCATGAGATGAAAAAGTAAAAAAAAGATTTGAAGTTTAAAAAATAGAGGCGAAAGATACCAATGGAATATTCAAACTCACAAGTTGATACAAACTGACAATCCCATGGCAAAAAATGAAAAACTACAAAAGACAAACAATAGTACACAAAAAACATCACAGAAATCTGAAGACTGAGCAACATGATCCCCACTAAAAACCAGGGGTGATCTCAACTGCTCCGGAAGGATAAGCAGATTCTGCTCCACTTGTGACATTTTCAATATTGTGATTGCAATTTAGATTTGATTTTTGTGTCCTCTTTGTATTTTATTTAATTTATTTACAATAGATAGATGTACCTTAAAAGACAGAGATGCTGTAGAGAAAATCCAATGGAAACTACTTATGTGCATGAAATATTTATTTGAGGTAAACCATAAACCAGAGGAACGATACCTTTCCAAGGTATTAGACAGAGTGGCTAGTCTTCGAGTACTATCAGAAATGAATGAGAAGAGGGCACAATCAATAAAGCTAGAATGGCCAATTTTGAAGAACCACCCCTTATTAGTAGAGCTTATGTCTGGTTAATACTGCTGATGTTGGTGTTTGATTTATAGCGTACCATAAATTGTTGATATATATAGTATGTGTCTGGTCAGGTCATTCCTTCTGTCCTGAAAATATGATTTTGAAAGAAATGACTGCCAGTGAGAGGAATAATTGAGTAAAATTTTACTATTTCTATGTTGTTGAGTAGCTCGTTTGAAGGAGGAGCCTGATTATATAAATTGCTGAATCATTGTGAGGAAAGCAAGTTCATTCAGCAACAAGTGTTCAAAGAAAAAGTAAAGACAATGAAAAATATGGAATGATTCTTTTCAAAAAGAAATGTTCTCATCTATTCCATCATGTTGTTTTCTCAGTTGTCCTTGACACCTCATCAGGACATTTAGACCCATGACATTATTTACTTTATTGAGTGTTTCTAATAGTCTGTCTTTCTTGGGATACAATGACTCAGGCTACAGGTTTGGCTTTGAAATGCACACAGATGTTGAGGCATTTGTATTCGATAGTACCTACTTCATATGGAATTGCTATCACAATGATTGTACCATATAACTATAGTGACATGGTCTTTGAAAAGCTTTCTGTAAAATATATGTAGAGGAAAATGACCTATTAACTATGTATTTATTATTGTTTAAGCTAGCAGGTTATACAAAACTTCATTGAGAAATTTTATTGTCTGAAAAACATCATGTCACCATATTTTTCTACTGGTAATTTTCTTCCTTCAACAGCTTTCTTACATTGAACAGAAACGCTGGATTTAAAAATGCATACAGTTCAGTGTTCTCCCCAGGATTTTTGAACAGCACCAGGGTAATGGTGAAATGATTCGTACAATCAGTCATGTCGCATTGTGTCGCTTAGCTATATTTCTAGTTACTGTAGTTTTTATACGACCGCAAAAAAATTTTGTGGTCGTATATTGGTATGACGTTGGCGTTGTCGTTGTCGTCTTCGAAGACACATCGGTTTTCGCACTCTAACTTTAGTTTAAGTGAATGGATCTCTATGAAATTTTACCATAAGGTTCAATACCACAAAAGGAAAGTTGGGATTGATTTTGGGGGTTATGGTACCAACAGTTAAGGAATTAGGGGCCAAAAATAAGCATTTTTGTAACTTCCAGACATAACTTGTGTGTTAGTGTATGGATCTCTCTGACATTGTACCACAAGGTTCCATATCACAAAGGGAATCCTGGGATTGATTTTGGGGGTAATTGCCTCCAAATTTTAGGAATTACGGGCCAAAAAAGAGGCAAAAAACAAGCATTTTTCTAGTTTCATGACAATAACTTGTGTGTAAGTGTATGGATCTTTCTGAAATTGTACTACAAGGTTCCATATCACAAAGGGAAAGCTGGGTTTGAGTTTGGGGGTAATTGCCCTAAACATTTACGAATTTGGGGCCTAAAGGGGCCAAAAAACAAGCATTTTTCTAGTTTCCAGACAATAACTTGTGTTCAAGTGTATGGATCTTTCTGAAATTGTACTGCAAGGTACCATACCACAAAGGGAAGACTGGGATTGATTTTGGGAGTATTTGCCATAAAATTTTAGGAATTGGGGCCAAAAAGGAGCAAAAAAACAAGCGTTTTTCTAGTTTCATGACAATAACATGTGTGTAAGTGTATGGATCTTTATGAAATTGTACTACAAGGTTCCAAATCACAAAGGAAAAGCTGGAATTGAGTTTGGGGGTAATTGCCCAAAATGTTTAGGAATAAGGGGCCTAAAAGGGGCAAAAAACAAGCATTTTTCTAGTTTTCAGACAATAACTTGTGTTCAAGTGTATGGATCCCTCTGAAATTGTACTGCAAGGTACCATACAACAAAGGGAAGACTGGGATTAATTTGGGGGTAATTGCCTCAAAATCTTAGGAATAAGGGGCAAAAAAAAAACCAAACATTTTTCTAGTTTCAGGACAATAACTTGTGTGTAAGTGTATGGATCTTTATGAAATTGTACTACAAGGTTCCATATCACAAAGGGAAAGCTGAGTTTGAGTTTGGGGGTAATTGCCCTAAACGTTTAGGAATTTGGGGCCAAAAAACAAGCATTTTTCTAGTTTCCAGACAATAACTTGTGTTCAAGTGTATGGATCTCTCTGAAATTGTACTGCAAGGTACCATACCACAAAGGGAAGGCTGGGATTGAGTTTGGGGGTGATGAATCATAAGTGGGTTCAAAAAATTTAGGGGAGGTTTTTTTTTTTTCTTTAAAATTTTCCATTTTAAATTGGTTATTTCTGATTTATATATAAAAGCAAATAATAATGATATGGTTTGAATAGGTTAATTAAAATTTTTTTAAGTTCTTAGACCACATTCATTCTGTGTCAGAAACCTATGCTGTGTCAAATATTTAATAACAATCCAAATTCAGTGCTGTATCAAGCTTGAATGTTGTGTCCATACTTGTCCCAACTGTTCAGGGTTCGACCTCTGCGGTCGTATCAAGCTGCGCCCAGCGGAATATTTTATCATGTCTTTTGTTTTGTTTTAATACTGTGGTACTGTGTTATGTAGACATTGAGTCAGAAAATTATTTGTAAAAAAGAAGTAAATCAATAAACAGTCTTTTAAAAATAAATAAAACATGACTCATTACATATATATAATTTTCATCTAAATAATTATTGTAATTAAATCTTTTATAAAATCCATGATCAATAAAAATAAAATCTCATTCAAAGGAAAACAAAAATGTTCTAGTTTCTAGATAGAAAGTTGTTGTATATAAAAGGATTCCTGCCATGAGGAGATATAAAATACAAGAAGAAATATTGTTATATTATTTGAACCAGTTTCTATCTTAAATTTTAATAAAAAGAAATTTTTCATAAACTTTAAAACATTTTGCTATAAATATAAATTTCATGTAAATATTAACCTTTCTTGTCTTTGGTGATAATCAAACATAGATGCAAACTAAATACTGCACTAAAATCTAAATCTTTATTTGTCATGATCCATTTAAAAAGAATTCCTAAATCTATTTATCTTAGGTCTATAGATCTATAAGTAACCATATTCAATGTCAACAACAAAGTCTCCCTATTTTCCCGCCTAATTGACAGGAAGTAGATATAAATAGATTTTAGATGTGCTTATGGATAATGTTTGCAAAATTACTTCTTTTATTCTTTAATTTTGGATATAGATATCCAGTTTAAAGGTACAGTCATGCATTTTATTATTATTATAAAATAGATTGCAATTAATTGTAAATAAACTTGAACTTTCTACTTGAATTAACTGGGTCATGTGATATGTACAGATGTCCCTCCCCTTTAAATTACTTGTTCACAGGTACTAAAGTTTGAAACCCGACTATCATGCAATAACTTTGTCATAAAGATAATTTTGGCCATGGTTTAATGTAGAACGGACATCCTGAATTTTGATAATCGTATATTTCTGACAAGGAAAGCTTGTTCTACGTGCTTCATAAAGAAATGCGAAATGTATAAATGTCAATTATCTGTAATGAGCCAACAACTATTTAGTATGTACAAAAAAAATGTTCTGGGGTGCTTACAACTATCGGCACTGGTTGTGTACAAAGTATTTGCCTACTTGTCACAAGTCAGCGCTTGGGTGGTGAGTGAAGCCATAAAATTGTTATCTGTCATCATACAGGAGTAGGGGCAATAAGGCCCTTGTTTGGCCCAAATATTACTACAAATTTAAAAGTTATCATACATATTCTTAAATTTGTCCAAACTAGACTAAGGTACAAGGTATTCAGAAAATGAAAACAAATTTCACATTGAACGAGTTACCATGATATGGCAACAAACCATGACAAAATTTGCATATTTTGTAAGATTTCTTGATTTTCCTTGTTTTCATCAAATTCTAAGTATATTTTAGATTGGAAAGGTATGTGTGCTCCCAAGAAACAACTTTGTATTTGTTAAGATTATGTTTACAGTTATAATAAAATTTCACTTAAATTATTTTGTTGTTTCTTGGCTGCGCATGATGTTGCCACAATGGAAAACTGCATGAATTCTGTATTTTTCATCGTTTTTGTGAAAATATTATATATTATAACGTAATTGTGACGCCATCAGATACAAATCTTTATGTTTTTATGCCCACGCAGTGGGGGCATTAAGTTTTACCCTTGTCCGTCTGTACGTACGAAATTGGTTTCCGTTCTAACTTGAGTTTGCCTCAACCAATTGTTAAGAAACTAATACACAATGCTTATTACCACAAAACACTGATCAAGTTTGAATTTTGGTGGTGTCACTTTAACTGTTCTAGAGTTATGCCCCTTTATAAATGGAAAAATTGCAAAATTCTTAGTTTCCGTTCTCTAACTTAAGTTTGCCTCAACCAAATGTTATGAAACTTATACACAATGCTTATTACCACAAAACACAGATCAAGTTTGAATTTTGGTGGCGTCACTTCAACCGTTCTAGAGTTATGCCCCTTTATAAATGGAAAAATTGCAAAATTTTTATTTTCTTCTAAATATCAAGTAATTTTTAAAATTGGAGTTATCTTCCTTTGTCCATGATTATATTTGAAACAACTTCAATCAATGCTTTATACAATGCAATGTTTAATTTTGACTTCCACTGATAAAACACAGATCAAGTTGAATTTGGGTAGTGTCACTTTAACCATTATTGAGATATGCCCTTTATAAATCGAAAGATTGCAAAATTTTTAGTTTCCATTCTGTAACTTAAGTTTGTCCCAACCAAACATTATGAAACCTATACACAATATTCATTACCACAAAACTAAGATCAAGTACAAATTTTTTGTTTCCGTTTTCTAACTTTAGTTTGCCTCAACCAAATGTTTTGAAACTTATACACAATGCTTATTACTACATAATACAGATTAAGTACGAAATTTGGTGGCGACACTTTAACCATTCTTGAGTTATGTCACTTTATAAACATAAAAATTGCTGAATTTTTCGTTTCCGTTCTCTAACTTTAGTTTGTCTCAACCAAATGTTATAAAACTTATACACAACCGTTCTAGAGTTATGCGTGTTTACAAATAGAAAAATTGCTGAATTTTTAGTTTCTGTTCTCTTCTTAAGTTAGCCTCAACCAAATGTTATGAGACTTACACACAATGTTTATTACCACAAAACTCAGATCAAGTTCAAATTTGGGTAGCGTCACTTTTACCGTTCTTCAGTTATGTCCCTTTATAACTATATGATATGCAAGCGGGGGCATCATCTGTTACCACATGTGGACACTATCCACATTTATTCATTTATATTTCTTGACTCTATGATTTCCAAACATTATGTACCAATTTGAAATAGTTGTCAAGCATTTTATTTTCTTTGGCCAAAACCGGGCCATAAATTAAAAATGCCCCTACTCCTTTATGATCTCTTAATCAATTAAAACACAAAAGAATCCTGTTACAAGTGTTAATTACATGATTGTATCCAATCAATAAGGTTAACCTCATATGGTAAATTGATCAAGTGGTGTAAACAATCTGGTTTGAACTGGTTAAATTTCACCTGGAATTTTATACTGCATGGAAAAGATTTAACAGGTCATTTAAAATTTTACTGATACGATTTTTTGACCGAAAATTTTAGCACCGACGACAAAAATTATACCACCGCGCTAAGACCGATAGAACCACGCTAAAAAATTATACATTGTGGGCCCGCGGTCCTTTAAGGGCTTGGGGCGAACACTGATACTGATACTTGTTTTACATATGATTCATCATTGTGTTTTATTATCCTATATGTCAGATTTAAACTGTGATATTTTGTGTATGCATTTAGGAAACTGTTTAATAGCTGAAATAATTTTTTTTTAACATATATCATGTATGTCCAGAATGTGCCTTTTTATAACATAATGATGAAATTGATATAGCATATCAATATTTATCTTACCTCCTATACATTTCTAGGAATATGATTGGTTAAAAGCAACCGCGTGGAGACCTTGTATATTTCATATGGTGTTAGTAGGTGTGGTTTATTTCAATACACAATTAGTAGTGGTGTTACGTCCCTTTGTAAAAATAACACGGTGTTGAGGGAAAATCTGAAAGGTTTCAACAGAGGAAGAAATTGATGATACACAATTGAAATAAATGCAGAAAACACATTAAAAGCTAACAAGTTGTTATTGTTGGCATTTGTTTGTTTATAGACCAATGGAAGTAGGTTCTTAATATTAAAGACTTGATCACTTTGATAGGCCACTAGTCTAAATGCCACATGCTAAGATAGTCGGTAAGATAAATTTGTTACACAGTGTGCTAGTGATCTGATACGATATATATGAGGTCAGTAGATTCCATATGGGGTTCAAGCTTCACTCTCAACCCATATTACTGACCCCATATATATCGTATTAGGTCACTAGCACTCTATGTAACTAATAATATCATTCTTGAAAATAAGACATTCCAGTGGATATAAGTTAAGAAATATTCATATTTATATATTGTCATGTTAATGTATTTTTGAATGACATATCAATTTCTCCTGACTGTACAAAAATACCATCGATTTAGTCTATTTATCCTGTTTTAAGCAGTTTGCTATACAAGTAATTTTAGTATAGATACACTTTATGATATTTTTTTTAACATGTGAGTTATACAAATTAACAAATTTCTTCACACACATAAATATGTGGAAGAGGTTATTTAATTGTTAAATATACATTATATAAAAAGTAGAATATGTTAAAACTAGGAATATAAAGAAATGTGCGGTTTGCATTAAATAAAAAAGCATTTTTTCAACACAAATGTGTTAGACCAAATAATAGAGATAAGGATTCAACATCCCATCTTGGGTAAGACCAGCAAATACTCATTTTAATGTTTTTGGGTTGACCCTATTTTGATATTATCCAAAGCCACATGAAAACTGGCTTCCATGTTACAAAAGAGCCAAGTTCCAGCAGTCCAAAATATAAATGTATGCCCCTGCAGTAGGCAATGGGGGTAATTAAGTGTTACCCTTGACTGTCCGTCCCATTTTTTCGTTTCCAGAGTCTAATTTAAGTTTTCCTCATCCAAACTTTATGAAACATACACAATGTTAAGAACCAAAACACGCAGACAGAGTTTGAATTTGGGCAGTGAATCATTTACCTTTCTAGAGTTATGCCCCTTTTTAACTTGGAAAATTGCAAAAATTGAGCTTGGGCATTTGTGTCCTCAGACATATTCTTCTTTTATTTCAATTATTTTTTACATTTATTTTATGCAAATGCAAAAGATATTGAAATAATTTCAATGTTTGTATTCAAATGTTGTAGTTAACTGTTATCTTAACATAGATACAGAATTTTTATTTACCAAAAGTCATAGTATTTAAATTTTCATGAGAGTTAACTGTTCATATATATATATGAAAGGTATTTTGTATAATTGTATCAAACAGTATTCCAGGATCATTTTTATCAGAAAGAGATAAGTTAGAACCATATTTCCATATATTCTTATAGCTTTAACAAATATCCATGTACAGAATAAGACGTATTTTTTGAAATATTTGATGTAAATATATATTGCAATAGTAAAATGATAAACTGCTCAGATTTTATGATTGAATTGTACATATATGACCAAATTAATTGACCGTTAAATGATTTCTATCATCATTGTTAAATGTTAAATGTTATTGTTTAATTATTTTGTTTTCGATACCTCCTTTTTTATTGTTATTTATTAGATAGTAATTTAATTATGTGATACATAGTAATAGTGACAATCATGTTAGCTGACATATATGGACGTTTGGCTACAGAAATATATGTTCCTAACTGTGCTAGTTTATCCTAATACACCTTATCGCTAGTCCCGCTTGACCCAAGAATCAGTCCCTCTCGAACTTTTGACGTCATACAACAATCACTTTTCCATTGTGGCGTCAGATATTTTCTATTATGACGTCAAAATTTTACGGGAACTTGTGTGATGTCCAGTAATGGCGGACAAATAGCAATAAGGTGTATTGAACTGTACCTTTCATGGTTCTGTTTATACTTCTGCCATTAGAGAAGACTTGCAACATAACTTTTACTTTACCTAAATATATATTCGAACATATCTCAAAAACATTTGATGCATTTAATGTTAATTTTGTTTTGATTAAGATTTTTTTCTGATAAGGGGAGATAAATGTGAATCATGTCTTGCATGCATTACAAATGCATTGTATATCCCTTACTACTATAAGTATAAATAAGTCATATTGCAAATCTGGACTTCTATAATAGGTACTTGGGGATATATACTTACTCATGTCCACCATTCCTGACTTCAATCATTCTCAAATATATTGGGGCTTTTCAGTACTTCTTGCTGGTTATTAATTTAAATAACTGTATTGTATTTTAAGTTTGGCTACGTAAAAGATAGGTTTAATTGTCACTAATTGAGTTTTCATGGTGATGTGTAGCAGAGCTAGGTTAAATGATATTTGCGACAGTAAAACCAAATTTTACTCAAACTAAATTTTTGTTATGCATTCAAATATTTAGTTTTAAGCGTGCAATGTGTATTTCTTAATTTTACTATATAATTATGTGCTTCATTTAAATTTATTTACTTTTGAAAGCAGTCTTTGATGTCTGAAATTTTGAATGATATTGTAGTTTTTTTTTCTGTTTTTTGTAATGGCAGCAAATATTGAGAGGTTATTTTGTATTTTCATGATAGATATTAAGAGTTCAAGGTTATTATTTCAATATACTTCTAAAGAATGTACAGCATTTTGCTGGACATAAGAGCAATAATCAAATCACATCATACAGTCCTCCTAAAATGACCAAAGTGTATATCATGCACACATTACTAGCCCTCATGAAATAGAAAACATTTTAGTATTTTGAATATCTTAACACATTTTTTTAGTATTCCACTCTTGTGTAAGAAAATCTTTCTTTCTTGAAATATTACAGAAGTAATCAATCTCTTGCAATAGGGTAAACAGTAAACTACAATGCATTCTAACTGTACAGTTTACAACTCCTAAATAACAAGATTTTTGCTCCAGCCCAGTGAGAGCTAACATGGAGAGGGAGATTCTGGAAATTTGAAAAAAAATATCAGTAGAATAAACACCTATGCAAATCAGATGAGTAATTGTATTCAAAGAATACTGTGATATGTAAAGTATTTGTTTTACTTTGTTTAAAACATAATTTATTACAGTTGAACTTTCTTAGTATATACTTTGAGATTTAAGGTAATGATTGCTTGTTTGTAAAGTTAACCATGAATTCTTCATTATTACCTTTGTAAATATACGTTTGCAAAAAAAAAAGGTTTTTCCGACTTCCTTGTGTCTGACAGCCACGGAGTTGATTGGCATGTAACAACAACTATTACTCTTACAATAAGTACACAACAAAGGTAATAATGATTATATGGTCTACCAGTCAAACAACCACAGCTTGCTTCATTGTTCTATGTAGGATTTGGGGACTGAAATTTCATAAAAATGATATTTCGAGTTACAGAGCTAATTTTAGTGAAATATATTTATTTACATTAGATTTAAGCTAATTTTAAATGTTTTGATATTTTTTTTTTGGTAATGCTGGCATGCAGGTGTCATAACTACACTAGGAAATGCATTTTGAAACCGATTTTTGCTATGTCTCAATTGTTTTTGATTTTGAAAGATTTGGCACATTCTCTTACAAAATTGATGTCTTTATAAGATCTGTGTGAGTTCATCACACATTTATATAGTCAGAGAGAGAAACAAGCATTTTAATAAAAGTTACAGATCATAAATTGAGGGGCCTCGGTGGCTGAGTGGTCTAAGGAGTTACTACTGTAATCACTAGCCAGTCAACACTGAGGTTGTGAGTTCGAACCCCGCTCGTGCAGGTGCACTGGACTCCAATCTTGATTGACTAGGATTGTCAGTGTTCCTATCGAAGGTAGGTGGTTTTCTCCGGGCACTCCGGCTTCCTCCAACAATAAAAACTGGCTGCCACGAAATAGTCCAAAAGCCGTGCTTAAAAGTGGCATTAAAACACCAATAAATCAAAACAAATCAGATCAAAAATTGTGTAGAAAGTGAATATTTTCATAAAAACTTGAATATTGCCTTGTTTCAAAAGAATCGCTCTGTAATCAGTGAACCTTAAGTATTAAAAAAGTTTTAACTTATTACAAATGTCCATATTATAACTTCTTTTTGGAGTAGTGTTGCACATTTTGATTTTTAAGGGTCTTATGAGACAGTTTTGAACCTTCCCCTTTCATTGTTTTTTTCGCAAGAGAACAGCCACATACATGTTTGTTTTGAAGCTTGTATAAGAATAAAAAGTTATTGCAAACAGTTAGGAAGCTAACTGTGCAAAGAACTTCTTCAAAACAG